GATCCTCCAAAGCCTGCATTTTAACGCAGAGGTAAGGAAGGAGAGAAGCAGCTCTGGAAGCAATGTTTTTAATCATTAAGATGTAAGAAAGCATGCAGAGAATTTAAAGACAAGGCTTGTTGTCTTTGTCATGGAGCTGCACTGTTTTTTTTGTGCCACATTTAAATTTTTGTGCAAATCTTTAAGCTTTGACCTTGTGCTTAGTTGCATTCTAAATCCTAGAGGAAATAAGTACTGTATGACACTGTCTACATTAAATGTCATCGTGCCCATTTTTTTTGCCCAACCTTTTTTAGTTTACCTACTCTACTAGAATCTAGATCATTGATGTGAACTTGAAATCAATTGTTCAAGTACAGATGTTTACTACTCCATTAATTAATAAGACTCTACTATTTTTCAAGAATGGTCACCTTTCATTTCTTGTGCTGCAAACACCTTGGGTGTTGCTACCATTTATTACAAAGGTTTTTCTTTTACCAGAACTTTGTTCACTTATACATTTCTTCATAGATATTTAACATATTAAATGCATTGGTGAAATACACTTGCTTCAATACTTAACCTGCTGTGCAGTGAGGCTGCTGGTACAGAATGCCTGCTAATCACACAAAGTTCACACTGCTAATCACACATACTGTATAATTTGGGATAAGGGGGGTATTTTATATGTAAAAAGCTTTGGGATCTTATAGGATGAAAGACCCTCCACAAATGCAAGGAATAATTGGCATTTTTTCCTCTAATGCCATTGTTGTTTTATATCTGTGTTAGGTTCTATAGCATGAGCCTCATATCTGACACAGCTTATTCTGAGAGAGAGGGGAGTTTAGAATTCAAAATTGATTTTTTTCTGATAATCTTATTCTCACCTTTTCCGTTTTCATTCACTAATGTATTTTTCTATTCTGTTATGCCTATTTGAAACAAATTACCACACTAAAAGGAACAACAAAAAAGGGACTGGATGAAAATGCTGCCACTAATTTGCTTATCCCAAAATCTGATACTATAAAAGCGACATTTGCTGTTATATTTCCGACCATTGTCAACACCCTGTGAAACCTTGTGTCTTTTTGGTTTGCAAAATAGAATAGAAATCGACTTAAATGCATTAAAACACCATTATTACAGGAACTCTGAAGGAATGCATGTCATTCTTATGTGCAATCCTATATCCCAGGAGGCATGCCTACTCAAAAGTTGTTGCTGCATAGGACCACGTTTTCATTTTAACAACAGTGTTAAAATGATGTATCCTGATTGTATCTCATATACAAGATTCTTTGCACTTCATTGAAAATTCAGGTATTTTCTGAAATTTACTTGAAGCACAGACAGCAACATATGGCTGTAATCTGTTCAGTTCATCGTACACAAGCGTGCAGACCAATTAGAGATTTTAATTAAGCCCACCTGTCTTTGGAAGGTAGGAGGAAACCAGGGCACCCTGAGAAAATCAGATCAGATATGAAAATCCCACACAGAAGGCACCCCAGTACAACTGATATACAAAGCATCTGTAAAACAATCCGCTTGATCATCCTAACTGGATCATCTTAATCCATTGTCTAATCACTTCATCCAATTCAGGGTTGTGGGGGAGCCAGGGCCTATCCCAGCAAGCAACAGGTGCAAGGCAGGGCACAGCCTAGAAGGGATGTTAGTCCATCACAGGGGACACATACTGTAGACAGGCATACATACTGTACCCACTCACACCAATTTTCCCAGAAGCTAATTAACCTACCAGTATCTTGTAGGACTACCAGGACTATGGGAGGAAAATTGAGCGCTAGGTAGGAATCCACAAGGACACAGGGAGAAAATACAAAATCCACACAGATAGCACCCCTGGACCCCAGCACTGTGAGACAGCTGTGCTAACCACTGTGCTACCAAGCCTTCTGGACTGCATCATTACTTTTAATATAAATTCAAATATAAACATAGATTTTTAATGGTTCTGAAATGTTTCCTAATGAAAAGCATTTGAAAAAAACAAAGGGGGCAGGATCCCTTCTTTTTGAAGCAGAATTTATTTATTATTGTGGTATGCTCATTTGTCACGCTTTATGCCAGTTTTGTGTCTGTGCATGTCTACTGTATGTGTTTCTATTTGCTTTAGTTCTGCCTGGTACCCATCTTCAAAAACATCCAGAAGCCTTGTTCTGGTGTGGATATATACTGTATGTATATAAGCAGTAAGTATACTGTAAGTATATCCACACTTACCTCACCTAGTCTCTCAACTGTCCCACTGAGCAAGCCCATAAAAAGGGTTTGCTTACTGTTGTAAAGGTGAGGTTGTTTGTAAAGCCGTAATAATGAACGGTCTGTCCTGTTTTATACTGTCATTAAAGTTGGCTTCTAAATAAAAGTTTATATAAAATATTTGCCTTCCTTATTGTGAAGCAATCAATAATTTATCTGGAAATTATAAATGATAGGTGATTTACAGAAAGTTATAATAGTAAAAGAAGAATATTTTCTCAGATGTATAGCCTATGTGAAAACTGAGTGGATCACTGAAGCATTTTTCTTGCTCTTAGAAAATGTATTTCTCTAAGGGGGTAGTAAATCTGTTTATAAAGTCAACATTTTTTATGTCTGAGGGTACAATTTAGTTTGATACCATATGAAGGCTAGGAATGACAACAACAGATCAATGTTAGCTCTGTAATGTTCTGTATTAATATGCTATAACAAAAAACAAAATGTTTGCATGTATTCCGTATGTTGAAACACCTATACTTTTTGGGTTTTCTAGTGTTCTGCAGCAACTGTAAATTTGTTCCAAACTCGTACAGTAACTCTCCCATAAAGTTATACAAGCATTAAACCATCCTCCTTGTTTACAATTACGTTTTTCCACATTAATTTTCCATGCAATATTGAAAATTTCACATGTGATTCTTTCTCATGACCTATTGTTGGTTACTGAATTGCTGACGTTTTAATGCTTTGGATTTGGTAGTCATCTGAGCGCTGGGAGAGTATGGTTTTGTGATCCATGACAAATTAAATTATTCTAGGCTTTAGTGTGTAAGTACAAGGTTTAACAATGCATTTTAATTAGATTTGCCTTAATAAATCATAGCATGAGTGTGTTGGATAAGATTATAAATGTTATGAACGTGCAAAGCTGCACATTTTGTAGAGAGTGAATCAACATATTATTCTAGGTACCTTAATGTTGCTCTTTTTTCATGGTCTAACTTTGTTTCACAGTATGTGAAATGGCCACTTATTCCAAATACTCCACTATCCTCATGCTGAATAATTACAATTATCACTTATTTAATTATTTAAGACCACTTACAGTATTCACAGGTTTATTGCCTTTGGGGGTGACTTCCACTGATCCATGAGGGCATTAGACCTGCAGTAATCTTCTTCCCTGCTGTGAATGCACAGGTAATCCACATGGTGATGGTCTCAAGAATGGACCTCCAGACTCCCCTTCATCAGCACATCAGCAGATTTCTCATGCTTCCATCCTTAACACTATTTATCCTTTTTTCTCTTTTTTGGAGATCTCTTATGTCTGTGTTTTTGTAAAGGTGGGGCTACAAGCAATCTTAAAGTCAAATTCCACTCATGGAAGTAGCAGTACTCTTTTCTTTTAAAAAAAATGCACCAACACATTCTGCCTTGGGTTCAGCTCCTGGGCTGCTCTGAGTGGAGTGTGTATGTTTTCCCCATGTTAACGTGGGTTTCCTCTGGATGCTCCAGTTTTCTGCCACAGTTCAAAGACATACTGGCAGGTTAATTCGCTTCTGTAAAAGCTGATCCTGTTGTGAGTGTGTGTGTTAGTGTCTATGTTGAGAAATAGACAGGCATCCTGTCCAGCGTGTATCCCATCTTGCACCTTATGCTTTCTAGGATAGGCTCTGGGCTACCTTAACCCTATATTGGATAAGTATTTATTGAAAGTGATGGGCTGTGACATTCTTTTGAAAATTCATATGCAGTTTATATGATTAATCACCTATAGAAAATACAAATGCTTTGGGATTTTGAGACTATAACACTGTACATTTGATATTGATTCTGATATTATTCTGATATATTTTGTCCTGGAAAAATTTGGCACCTTCCTCAGTACAAGCAGATTTGCAATTACAACTGAATTTCCCTTTTATCCCACAGTGAGGAGGAGTTTTAGAATATTGCACCTTGGAGAACATTAAGAGATCGTTTTAATTCAACATTTTGAGTCTATAAAATTCTTTAAGGCCTAGTTTAAAATGGGCATACCTTCTGTTATACTTTAAACTAAAGCAAAGTGAAGCCAAAAGCCAAATGAACATATGGCATATTATCATATATTGTTATCTTATTTGAATATGCTTTTCCAAGAGGAGGCATTTTCTAACTATGCAGTAACTTATTTGGCCATACACCCTAATAGTCTTCCCAATGATGCAAAACACTGGGAAAAAGTGAACTAGTGCTTTTGCATAAAATGCACTGCATGCCAGCAAATTTAAAATACCACTAAACCACGTCTAAATACTGGACATCATTATGAATAATTGTTTTTCCTTACCAAATCAAAAGGTTTATAGCTTCATCTACATAATATGATAACTGTCTTTAGTATGTTGGCATCTTCCAGCTGAGTTAAGCAAAAACCATCAAACAGATCTAAGAAAGGTAATAAGTAATAATAAAGTACACAAGCCAAAAATTAACTCCAGTCTTTTGTAACCTGTCTTATGATCTTAGATACAGATGAAATGTAGAAGACATCTCCATGCATTCTAATTCAACAGGAGAGTGAAAGATAATTTTAATGTCCTTATGACATTACCTCACTATTCCAAATCAGTAAATTAAGTTATGTTTGTTGCTGAAGTTCCAATAGAATCAGCTCAATTCAGGTGTACTGTCACTTTAAGAGGTGGTCAATAAGGCTGTGATTGGAGTAATTGTGTTATCTTAAATTCTCCCCACTGGGGGTCCCTGTCACTCTGAAGTGAGGGATAATGTCAGTGGGTAGTGCAGCCACTCTTCCTACCACCAGTCAGCGAGATCATTGTTGGGGGGTAGACGGATTACAGACAAGAAGCTTTTCATTGCTGAAGAGCTGAGAGTTTGAACACTCATACAGAGACAGAAAACACAAAATACAAAAAAAATGACAACAGTCAGCGAGCCAGTAGCAATTAGCAGACCCGTGCGATCTTCTAGAAGATACAAAAGTGTGAGAAAAAACTCCAGAAGAATCTATTCACCCTACCAAGATCAGCAACCCAGGTAAAAGCCTGTTACTTTTGTTTCTTATTGCATTACTGATTGTTCCATTTCTCATGTGATAGGTTTGTGTGTGGCGAAAGATTCTGTTTATCATTTTTCATCAAGAAAGTTGATGAATGTTGATGAAGTGTTCAGGGTTGATTGAAATATGTTTGAAATTAGATTAATTAAGAAAGCATGCATTTTTCAAAACAACATTTGTGCTTGAACCAAGGTAATACTGGTAGTCTTGCGCATGCAGTCTGAAACACTTACCCTTTTGTATATAACACTAATGTGTTACATTACTCCCACACTGTAATCAAAATTGCTTTTTAAATATATCTGTACTAACATTATGTATAATTCTTTTATGAGTTACAAAGCTTATTAAAACTGCTTTTTTGTGAAAAAACACTTTCATGTGGTTTCTTAAATCTATTAAACTAAAAATATATGTGTAAATGTAAATGGACATCAGTTTGGTACATGTACATATAGTTATATACAGTATATATTTGCAACATTAACCTGCACAGTCTGTTGCATAAAGAAAATATGCTACATATTTTTTACAGACATGAAACACCATACTGTACATACAAATGAGAGGAAGCCTAGCTAGCTAATTTGGGACAGAAGTAGATCATAAAACATAAGTTTATGATCGCAAAACTTTAAAAAACTAAGGAATGGGAATCTCATTTAAGTAAAATTAATGGTAACTGGTAGATGGATCCTTAACCCGTTTATGTACCTCTTTTTTTTTTAAATCTCAGTAACTCGGATGATGATGACAAAATTGAAGAGAGGATTGAGAGCAGCGATCCTGAGGAAATGTTCCAGAACATTCAGATTCAGAAGGAGATCATCGCCAACATTCGCACTCGACCTTGGCCCATGAGGCACAAACTTAAAGCCCTCAAGTAAGAAAGCCTTAACACTATAAATAGTACTGTCGTAATAGAGAAGTAAACATGGAGTAAGACTCCCTTGAATTAAAACTACACTGTGACACCAACATGCTGGCTGCCTCTGTAGTAGGATGGCAATAAAGCCTTCTCCAGCCAGAAAGCAATGTGATTCATGGCAAGAATGCATTGAGATTGTATACAACCAGCTGTAATGTAGTGCTGTGTTTAGGCATTAATTGTGTTAGTCAGAGCATACATCTGACTGGCATGGCAGTGCTGCTTTATGATGTATGCATAAAAATACATTTGGATGGTTTATGTGAACTAAAGCCTGGCCTGCTTTAATATTTTCAGTGGACTCACGATGAAAATTCTGAATCCTGTCTCCAGAAAGGTTTATTCCCTTTTATTGTGGCAGAATGGCCTAAATGCAGTAAAAAATATAAACAAATATTTAATTTATAATTATGTTTCTAAAGTGCTTTCCACACAAAAGAATCGCAAAACACTTTATGTTTTGGAGGGGACCTGTCCACCGGTGAAACGCACCCCTACCTTCATGTCCAAACAATCCCAACACACAGCAGGTGAAGAGGCAGAAGTGCAAAACTGCGTCTACAATTGCAAACCACGATTAAAGCTCAGTTTAATGTGTCATTCAAAGAATAGTACCTATATCATGGTGTGTCCGGTCATCAAACTGGGATGTTGGTTTTTGGAAATTGTATTCCACAGAAAAAATCACCACCTTCTGCTCCAACAACTCCACATACAGTACAGTATACACTGCAGCAGCAACCGTTTTCATTAAAACAGTGACACTGGTCCTGAGGGACCCTGGTGTTTGTTCGAGCCAAGTTTGACCACGGAATAATTAATTTCAAATTTTTGGTTCAGGAATGTTGTTCATATTTGTTTTCAGCTCCTAAAGGTTTCTATGTTTCAGAATTTCCCTTAATCAGATGTATCAGCTGCAATGGTTTCCTTTACAGAAATATTTTTTTTTTATTGTGGGAGTGTATGATATAAGGGCATCCCATCTGTGTCTGTTCATTAGAGAATGATTACCTATTTGATAGGAGAGAAAACTCTTAACCAACAAGTTGAGAAGAGATTTGAGAAAGTCTGTGTGCTGACATTGTTGGAACAATACATTTGAAGAAGAGAATTCGTGAAACCAAGGACTGAGTGGAGAAAACAATGTCCTAATAGCCAAACATATTAGTAATGCCATTACTTGTCACCAGCGGTTATTAGCACAGTAAGAATGAAACCAGAACTGAGAAGCACTGGCTGTGGCCCCTTTTTCTGCTGGAGACCAGGACCAGCCCTGAAAAGCTTCAAGATTCACTCTACAAGATGATAATGATGTCGTCAACACTGCTGTATACATGTTCATCATACAAATGTACATTGAATAACCGAGTGTCACATGCAGGATAACTGGCTGTGAAGATTTGGCCTTACAGCTGAAAAGAAGTGGAGCCATAAAATAAGAATCGTTCTTTTAGTCTCAATTCAGAGAGTCTGCAAACTGTGGCTGAAATAATTTCAGTTAATCAAAAGAAAAACTGCTGGTCTGCAGTAGTTTACTGCTTTTTTCTAGAATGGGAATGCAAACCTAGTGCTAAAGAAGAGAATGGACCCAGTGGGACAAAAGTGTTTATAATCTAGAAGTTAAAAACATAAAACAAGCACTTGTTGCAATGCATTAAAAGAAAGTGGAGCCAGATGGCTTGTCTTAAAAATACTATTAATGATTTTAGTAGGGTAAATAAAAAAATAATGCAAAGTATCTTAGAGATATAATATAATATTAAATAACAGGTTTGCTGGCCACTTTTAAAATAACATTTTTAATGTGTAGTGAAAATTTAGGAAACCTCTTTCAGTTAAAAAGTACTTTATTTTAACTGAATAACTTTTTAAAGAATATGTATTCCTTTGTATGTGTGCCAATCATCTCTTTTCTTCATCAATATAATTATTCAGAATAGAAAACTCCTTGACATCCACAATACCCATCATATCTGTAGATACATTTATTTTCCAATGCGTACATTCAGTAGGAAAACTCTTGTCTATACAGATAATGCGTAACTCCTAAAGATATTCTACTGTATATATTGTACTTGAAAATTGCTTGAAAAGGGATTATAGACAAATGCGCATATTGGTGTATTTTGTATAGTACCAATGGTTTCTTATAGAGAGTTGCCTCATACCTGGTCTCTGCAGGAAACCTGTGCCTTGTTGTTTTCCTTTGATTCCTATTGAAGAAACTGGAAATTGCAGAAAATGGATTGGAGCAGGAAGGGCTCCGATTACAGGTCTTAATGATGCTGTCTATCTTCTCAGGCAAGCCAGGGAGATTGTTTTGAAGTATGAAGGCAGGCTGACCAGGACAAGGGGGTATCAAGCTGCAGGAGCTGACGTAGGTTTTTCATTTAATAATGAAAACTCAAACACAGCAACAATCAATCTGAAGTACGGTGTGCTCCTCCAAACACCATTAGTCTCATATCTTCACAACTCTGAAACAACTGCTCAGAATGACCACCATTGCATCTGTCAGTAATGGATCTGTTGGTCAGTCACAACTCATACTTCTTGGTCCTTCTTCGATTCCTCTTTATCAGGTGTCTTGATTTTACCATGTTTATCTCACAATCCAAGACAAAGCCCTTTCATCAGAGATTCTTCAAATTATGTTATTCTGACAAGAGCAATGCTTAGCTGTAATGTATTGTAATGAACACTTGTATCAATTAAATTGCAGTAAAGAGCTTCCATAGCCAACTAATGAACTAATGGGTATAGTAATATGTTCTATATAGGTAATTGGTATAGCTGTTTTCCTAGAAAATATTTTAAATCATTTCTAATCCTATATAAAAGTAATGTATTGCATTAGTCTATTTAAGGACTTCACATTTTACAATATTTCATTTTTGTGCATTAGTTGCAGGCTGATAGTCTGTGTGATTTTTCCCTTTTCTTGTCTCTGTTTATGATCCATGCAGGTTACAGTGGGGAATTTTCAGGCTGTTTCCTGTGTTCACTTACAGACACACTGCTCAAATTTATAGCCAGTTGTTATTGCCCAGTTTAATTAAAATGTTTCAAAGGTATTCAATAAAGCTTCCAAAGCTCCATTAAAATTAATTGATTTTTGCCATGTAGATTGATGATGGTTTATTAATTAAAAAGATTGCTTTTGTTGCTTGGGCATCTGGAAGATTAGAAGTCAGACTTATTTATTTAATTTTAATTATTTATAGTGTGTTCAATGATTTAGGTTCACCGCCAACTGGTAGCTCACTGCAATTGTTCTGTTTTTTTAGGTTTCCTGTATGCTCTAAAAAAAGAAAACAATTTATTAACTGTGACCTTTGGAACCTATGAAGTGATTGCAGTAAAATTCAATACTAAAATAAACTGTGATAAGTATTCAATATTCATGAACCCTGGACTGCCACAGATTCAGCACCATACAGTAGCTTCAACAGGGTTGGGTATTCTAAGAAATGGGATTTGGGAAATATCTCAGCAAACTTGGATGTTTGTCTTTTCACTGTAAATTTCTCAAAAAATCATTACTTTGTGCTTTGCTCTTGTTGTTGTTTCCAGTTGCTGAAAAAACTGTCACGTTTGGTATATAACATAGTCGTCCTTTTCATTCCATGGGAAATGAGGATTAAGAAAATTGAAAGTAAGTAGTGATTCCTATCAGTCATTTAGAACACTCTCTCTACAATATGTCCATCCATTACTTTGCAGACACAGGGAGTGACAGAAGAAAACACAATTAATACGAAATAGAAACAGATGCTCATTATTCAGAATTCAGATCTTTGTTTATAGAAAACTGTCCCTTGTGAAATTCAAGACTGTGGTAACTCAAAGGATATCACTATGTGCTCAATCTGTCTACACTTTTAGTATTGGTTGTAGGATTTTTCCCTTGTTGGTGAGACCTTCCTCTGTAATAGTATATAAAGATTGCCTCTTTACTTCATACAAGCTCAATGGACAGCTGCTTGTCTTTCATATACTACACAAAATGATACATCTACTGTGAGAAAGTACAACAGAATGTTATGCCTGCCGAGTCAGCTAAAAAGAGCCGCTTGAGAAATGTATTTCACAGCACAAGTATAGAAAACAAATGTGGGGATTATGTACAAAGACTTCTGCTCAGAGCTTATGTTGGAAGCTGTACCCTTGCTTTCATGAAAACACCTTGCACAGGGTTGAAATATCTAATTTACATTATGACTCTGCCCTGAATTGCACCTGTGTCTGTAATGACTGTTTCATTCCCTTCATGTTTCTTTCCTGTCTCTTTCAAAGGTCACTTTGGATCTGGCGTTGCTTCTTACTTCATCTTTCTGAGATGGCTGTTTGGTATTAACATTGTCTTAACCATCATGACCGGAGCATTTGTGATACTGCCTGAAGTGAGTTAACCTACAGGTAGCTCTTGTTCAAGGAGATAAGACGTATCTAGTACAGAGCTTAAACTTAAACAAGTAATATATTCAAATAAATATCTATTAATAATGGCGACAAATGTCACATGTAAGTATAAGCCTCTAGATCCCTAATGCCATTAATACTAATTGCTTATTTGCTGCTATCTTTGAAGGCTTTAGGGAGAGAAATTTTAATCTGTATTAAGAAACTGAAGATGTGAGTGCCATTACAAAGCGTTAATGAATGGTGCTTCAGAACTACAGGACAGTTCGTCTTTCAGGAACGCGTGACCATAAAACTGCTGACAGAAATGAAAGAAAAAGAGACTAGCCTCTGTAAGTTGAGTCAGAGGTTGCTGCGTGGACTAGCACGATTTATGCTCAATTTCTTTTGTGCCCCTGGATGCAATTTCCTGGGGTCTCGGCAAAACTGCATCAGTCATGGAAGGTCCCGTCTGTGTTTTTCCCCATTAGCTTCTGGCAGGAGCGCCTTTTGGAACCACGAGAAGCAAGACCATTCCAAAGGAACACCTCGCCTCAGCACAGGACCTCGACACCATCTGGTCACTGGGGGCAAGGCTATGAAAATGCTTTATTGCTTTGTCAATATTACACCCTGCTGAGTTGCGCAAGCATTTAATTAATTCAATGGCTCCCTCTCTGACATGCAATCTGTCCTTTACAATTCTACAGGGCTACCTCCAGTATTCTGTCCTGTTTTATGGATATTACGGCCGAGTTAGGAAGATTGGGAGCGCTGGATACCGCCTGCCCTTGGCTTACTTCCTGGTTGGGATGACTGTCTATGCCTACAGCTTCATTATCCTGTTAAGAAAGTAATCGATAGACATTCGCGTTTCTCTGTATCAGTTTTTGTAATGGTGGCAACTCTTTTACTTCTTTTTATTTCACTTATTGAGAAGGAATTCTTTGTTATGAATCGAATTACCCTCATTTTATTTGTTGGGAATGGCAATTAATGTTAATTAGCTCTTCATCAAATGTGACGAGAAAGTGTAAAACCTGTCATATAAGACTAGGCTTTGCTATCCCTGCATACATAAGATTTAATTGATCAAGTAACAAGGATAATCTACAGCTCTTTCCTTTTAATCTGTATGCACTATTATATTATGACAAGGAAAATACACATTGACAGATGAATTAGCTCAGCAATCAGTAACGTAATAATGCTCTGACAGTATTATGTACCCACACCATCCTATTATCTCAAAGAATCGCATTCTAGCAGTGTGATAGTGTTTTTATATTCAACTCCACCTGTAGCTGGTAAAGGATTTCTACACTATTAAATGTTTTGAATTAAAAATTAACCCCGAAGAACTTCAAGGTAATTGGGAAGATCAGTCAGTGTGGAGCAGGAGAAGCTTTTTAATGAAAACTAGCTACTGCATTCTCTGTTTGCGGTGAAAAATGAGAAAAGGCCAGCTAATTTCAAATACACCTTCATTATTTTTAAACAGAATGGCAAAAAACTCCCGGCTTAGTTTAGCCAGCGCCTCAGATGAGAACTACACATTTTGCTGGCGTGTCTTTTGTGCCTGGGACTACCTGATTGGAAACCCCGAGGCAGCAGAGAGCAAAGCAGCAGCGATTGTCAACAACATCAGGGTGAGTGTCTGGGCTGCACAACAAGATAGACTCTCCCTGATCTGATTGGCAATGATTGCTCAGCTTTTATTCAGTACCCAGAGTAGATTAGCTGCTGCTGCTATTCATGATTTCCCATAGGGCAAAGCTATCAATTAAAGCTCATCTGAAATCTGTGCATTCCTCAGTAGTGAGAAGGCTGTTCAGAGATGTCCTGCAGGTGTTAATGAGTTAAGCGTTGCCTTCCAGTTCTATAAAACACTCCTGGACTTGGACTGTTTATTGCAAGTGACTGAAACAATTATGAATATACACAGGTGTAAGGAGTATTAAAGTATACTTGAGAGGAACAGTCAGGTGGGAGGGTGTTTATTTCAAAGGATATATTTAATACTATGACTATTCCAGGACCCACAATAAAACCAAAACATGCAGGATACATAGAACATGAGACAAAAATATTTGTCCTGTTTGATTAGGTAATGTGAATGTATTGATTGATTTTGTACTGTAATTTTCATCCTTTTTAAGGAAGCAATTCTAGAAGAACAGGAGAAGAAGAAGGACAAAAGCCTGTGGGTATCTGCACTGCTACATGTGGGCTTCCATCCTTTCTGCAGAACTATTGAATGTACTGAATGCAAGGGAACTACTGAAACTCCTTTTTGAAATAACTGTCTTGACCATGTCTCTGTCTCTCACATTGGGAGGCCATAGGGCAGGATAAGAACAGCTTTGAACACCACTTTTCTTATTGTTTTCTTTTGCTTTCTAGAGCTCCAATAGAGTAAACTGCACCTCCACATTCTGATATAGAATGTGTCCTGGAAATAATATATATTTTTTGTGAATGAAATTGAGGAAGTAAAAAGAGATTATGAAGTTAATCTCATTTTTAGAAATTTACAATCACCAATCATTTTTGTTATACAGTAGTTACCACCCAATCTAGAATAGCCAGATTGTATCCCTTGTCTCATGACAACAAACCCTGCGGCCACACACAGGGGAGAGTGAGAAAGTGGGCAGGTCCGAAGACTCCTCTGATCTACCCACCTTTAAAATATTAATCTCTTAATGTGTCACAGGCAACCCAACCCCATACTGGAGGCTGAGCACTGATTGGAGGAGAGTCCAGTTCCTCACTGACATGGAATTGAGAGGTCCCTGACCACCTTAATCCCACTCTACCCACAGTGACACTAAGCCAGTAGTTAGCTACAGCTTGGGGAAACCAGTCACAGTCTGCTAGTGATCTGGCCTAGTCTCAAACCAGTGATTATAGAGCCCAGTGTCCACTCAGAAAAAATGCTTACTCGTTTGAGTCTGTTGAGAGGCCAGTAAAATGATCTATTTGATTATGTTAGTTTAGCAGAGTATCATGCATTAATGTGGCTTCTTTCATTAATTGTCTCAGTTTGCGGCACTGGAAATGCTGCATTGACCTCAGGTGATTTATCAGCCTTTCTCTGCTGGTTCATCACAATCACAGCAGCATCGTGCCTGCAAAAGACACCCCACTGTATTTCAGACAAACTGCTTCTTCAAGTGCAGGATGACTGCAGCTATATCAACATCTCTCATCTGTAAATCAAAATTCACTAGTGCTAGTAATACCCCAGGCGCTGCTCATATAAAAAATGTAAAGGAATCTAACAGATTGTGTCCTGATATACTTAATGTTACATTATATTCAATATGGTTAAAACTGTGTTGTAAACTGTGATCTTGAAATTTTTTCTTTCAGGATTTTTTTTCTGTTTATCTAGCAATAACCAACGGTGTTTTATTCAAACAAAGCTATGTAAGCATCACAGAAATCTTTGTTTATTCTTGTTCCTTTTGCAGGGCTGTAATGATTAGTCTGAGAATCCTGGCCAACATTCTTGTTCTGCTGTCACTCGCCGGGAGTATTTACATCATCTACTTTGTCGTTGATCGCTCTCAGAAACTTGAGCAAGAGAAGCCAGAATTAACCTTGTGGGAGAAGAATGAGGTCTGGGAGGCGCCATTAATATGTCTTTGATATGCATTAGAAGGAAAACATTTACTCTAGTTTTGATTTCCCTATAAAACATACTGTGTAATGATTTATTCTAGACATGAAAATAATCTTGCATTGCATGTTCAGTTCAGGAGAAACACTGTAAACTGCGTTTTAATTACAGTATAATTCTGATCCACATTTTGAAGGATTCTCATATCTAACTAGCAATGAGATCTAATTCACACAGTATCATTCTTGGTCACAACACTGTTAGTTGTTTAAACCATCCTCACACTTCTGTGCAATCTGAACATAAACACCACTGTACTAAGGATTTAATAATAAGAAGAAATATTTGTGTTTATGTGGTGCTTTTTCATCCTGAAGAATCCCAAAGTGCTTCATATACAGTATTTCATCCACCACTGCAATGCACCACCCACCTGGGTGACAGCCATTATGCACCAGAAGCCCAGTAGACAGCATGGAGAAGGGAGAAATTGCTCCACCAAACTGATTGTTTATGCAAATGTTCATTTTGAAAAGTAATGGGAATGAGTCTTGCTTCTTCTCCCATGTGCCCAGGTCAGTGTGGTTGTGTCTCTTATCACCATGATTGCTCCCTCTGCTTTTGAGCTGGTGGCCCAGCTGGAGATGTACCATCCCAGAACAACACTGAGATTTCAGCTTGCCAGGTAGGAGCTCCTGCACAGAACTTTAGTATTATGGTATTCTGAATATTTCTCCCTGTTTAGTGTTTATTTAGACATATAACCTGATTGGGTTTGATAATCATTTTCTCTATTCCATGTCTACCAATTTGAAACACCAGATTAATAGTGTACACTGTAGTACAGTAGTATACGGCTTTGTCTCCCAGGCCATGGCAGATGTGGAAAAGGACTTGTGTGTCACCAAGCCGTAACTCATCTAACAGGAGCCCAGGCAGTGGGACTTTGGTGTCAGTCGGGGAATTTATATAGCTCATCCTCTCACACTCAAAGACAATGGATGAATATTTTCACCAACAAAATGTTTAAATTTATTGACTCGAATCCATAATTGTAATGTGTTGTGCCTCAGAGAAACACTAAACATTTCTGAGATTTCCCTTAAATCTGTAGTGCTCCATTTGCCTTAATTATAGGTGCCATTAAGAGTGAATGGCACAGCACTGACAGCTAGTGGAACTTTCAATTTCTAAGAACTTGTGATTGTTTTTTTCAGGGTTCTTGTCTTGTACCTGGGAAACCTCTACAGCTTGATCATTGCTCTTCTGGACAAGGTGAACAGCATGAGTTCAACCGTAAGTAATGTACTTTAATTTACTTAAAAATATTTATTTTAGAACTGCAGTTTTATTCCTGCCTTTTGAGCAGCATTTGACTTCAAGATTGACTTTCAACATTTGAGCATCATCATGTTCATCCATCCGTTTTCCATTTTCTAATTGCTTAATCCAGTTCAGGGATGGAGTTAAGCCGGAGCCTATTGCAGTCCATCACGGGGCATACAAAGACACACACATTCACACCAGGGTCAGTTTTCCCAGACGTTAATTAACCTACCAGTATGAATTTGGACTGTGGGAAGAAATAAAAAGATGCCTGGAGGAACCCCACACAGATAGCACCTCATGGCCAGAATTGAACCAAGGGCGCTGGTGCTATGAGGCAGCAATGCTGACCACTGTGCCACCACACCACCTTCATCATGTCTGAACTTCTATTAATACAAATATTTAAAAGAAACTCACACATCTGTTCAAAAATATCCATAACCTGCAGCAGATACATATTATAAACTATTGCAAAGAGCAGTAATATCTACTCAGTCCACTAGATGGCATGTTTGTTCATTCAATGGCATAGTTGTACTAATGCCTGGAATAACACATACATTTGTAGTCAGGTCTCACTTTTGTTAAAGGAATTAAGCGTTTCGTCTTCCCCCTCTATCACTTATCTCTTGTTTGTGTGACATCGTTTGTGTGGTTGGCATTAAATCACCTGAAGCTAAATAGTCACAATTTCACTAGTCGGTAGCAAATGTCACTTTGACAGAAGCTTGACAGCTTCACAGTACTGGTGGATGGCTCCCCATTCACATATCAGCCACAGACAGGAATCCGTGAGCCACTCTTTCTCTTCTGTCTTTTGCGCCTCGTGTGACATCTTTTTGTCACCTTAGAAATATTACCTTCATTAGATTCATGCATTGATAACATCAAGGCTTGATTTCTCCAACTCTGTACTCCCTAACTCTCTGCTCAACAAGTTGCAAGTAAGTAACAAGTTGTTAGCAGCATATCACTCCTACACTTACAGTAAGTCTCTTTATTGGTTGCCTATAAGGCACATATTCAATATAAGTTCTTGTTACTGACTTTCAAGGCTCTGAACAAGGAACTGTACATAAAGATAAAAAACCTGTCTCCATCATACATCTCTGAGCTCCTCCATATTTACACTCTTTATCTATACATGTACAATCCTGTATGCTCCTGTTTGTTTTTTCTTTTACTTTTTATCATACTTTTTTGTCTTTTTTATCACTGTGTATATTATCCTTGGGTATGAAAGGGTGCATCGTACAGTATAAAGAAATATATTATATCTCTGCTGTGTTAAGTAGGCTTTATATCTATGATTTATATTGCTACAAATCCCTAGAAATTTAAAAAAGCAAATGTTCTGAAATTAATTTAAGGTGATAACGTGCACTAAAAGCTATTTCTGTTATTCTCCCATCGATATAACAAAGAATAAAAATGCATACTGTATTTATATTTAATCAAAATGGGCAAAACAAGCTACAAAACTATTAGCATGCAAAACCTTCTTGAAGGTGTTGAATTATACAGTTCACAAACCACAGACTAAAGAGGAGAAAACAACAATAGTGTGTGTTTTCTAGGAGGTTTCTGTTGGTTCCAGCAACTGGTCAGACTCCACAGCTTTTCTGGCCACTATTGCTCTTCCAGAAGAGGAAAACCTTTCAACTATTGTGCCTGAAATCACTGAGAGAAGGAACAGCACTCTGAGCTTAGGCCTGGTGGAGAACACACCCAGAACCATCATTCCTGTAGCCCTTAATAAAACAGCATCATATGAGTACAACATGAAGTCGCAACAAGACCAGTGCTGGGAAACCTACGTTGGACAGGTACGAGATATTTCAATAATTTTTAATTTAGATGTGTATGTATACTTTTTCCAGCAAAAGTAGAACTTGCACAACATCAAAGTACTTAAGGTATTCAATGCCTAGGTACGCAGACAGAAATCTCGGGGACTAGTTCAGCTGTGTCTGTCTAGACTGTTGCCTGAACGGGGCTTCAAATTAAACTCATTTACAGTAAAACAAATCAGAAAATTGCTTTACTCTCTGATTTTTACACTGTTTTTAGAATGTTTAAACAGCTTTCTTTAATAGCTCAGCAAGATCTCAGTACAAATTCACAATACCTACTTGTATCGTTTATTCCTTTGTCAATGTCTTCAATGAAAATCTGTTTTCCTCCCTTTAGATTGCCCTTGTTAAATATTTTTAAAAGCACAGTGTTGGCAAGCAGAATGAAAATATATTACCTTGTTACAGTCGTTTTCCTTGTAATGCAGCACTTGTGTATTGTTTATTGATTAAAATGTGCAGGATGATGTTTCCTTAACGATGCCTCGGAGATGGCACTTGTATCGATTTTCAGAAAATCCTAAACAACTAGTAATTTTTCCCCATTTAACCATTACTCACAAGAGCATTAAATGGGAGTAATTGTTTCAAAAATAACAATATGAAAAACGAAACCAAGTAAAAAATGTAATCTCTTTTTGTTCCAGGAAATGCTGAAACTTTCAATTATAGACATGATTTTTACCGTGGCCAGTATCTTATTGATTGATTTCTTTCGTGGCCTTTTTGTTCGATACCTGAGTGATTGCTGGTGCTGGGATCTGGAGAGCAGGTTTGTAAGTAGCCCTCTGTGTTCTCCTGTAGCATTCTGTACTGCTTCAATTGTGTGAACAGGAGTGAACAGCATCTCCTTTTCTCACTACTTTTTGTCTGCATGTGTTTCCTTCATAGCCTGAATACGGTGAATTTAAAATAGCTGAAAATGTCCTGCATCTGATTTACAACCAAGGAATGATATGGTATGTAAAGAATTGTTTCACAGAAATAAAGGCTCCAAGTCTCATTGGAAAAGTAGTGTTAATGTTAATGTAATGAAGCACAAGGCCTTTTAAGCCTTCAAAGGGAATTGAAAAAAAGAACAGAAAAACATGTTTAAAGCTTAAAGGGAAACGTTAAAAAGTTGACTAAAACCAGATTGAGGCAAGAATGAATTAATAATAGAGTTACTTTGCAGGGAGAGATGATTGTTTAGAGTTAGTTTGTGTGCTGTAGATCTGGTTCTGCCAGATTACTCTTGTCCAGAGTAGAAAATCATCTTCAGAAGGTTTGTTCATGTTGAAACCCCTATTGTCCATTTCCTTCCAGGATGGGTGCCTTCTTCTCTCCCTGCCTCCCAGCATTTAATGTTCTCAAGCTGATCGGGCTGATGTACCTCAGGAGCTGGGCAGTGCTCACATGTAATGTTCCACATCAGCAGGTCTTCAGAGCCTCCAGGTTGGTGAGCGCTCACTAAGTTGGAACAGTGCTGTAGTGCCCTTTTTTCCTGAAAAAAATAACTTGGTTTGCGGAAAAATGCTCAAAGTGTGAGACCAGAAAAAAATGGCAAGAAACACAATGAAAATCTTGAGTGGCTCAGCAGCTTGCCTAGCTGTCTCCTAGTGACCCTTTGGCTTGTTGTCCAGTCTCTTTCAAAGCTTCCGTGTTAGATCCTCGGCTCCCAGGTTCAGTGGGTTTGACCCTTGTCTTGTTCGAATGCTTTCTCTGGAGCTCCCTGGTGCTCTGTAACCTGCCTCACACACCTGCTACCAGGGAACAGGTTTAAAGAGGGAAGAGCCCAGCTGTCAGGTGTCATGATTGACAACAGGCTTCTTTCAACAGGCCTGTCATTCTGTACAAACTAAGAGTACATATTCAGTATGTAAACTATGGGGCATTCCATGTACAGTATCTAGGCACAGTTTAAAAGAAATGACCCACAAAACTGTTATCCTACTGACATCCCTCTTCACAAGTGGAAACTGCAGATGGAGTTCTGTGAGCATGTCTTCTACAAGGTGCTTTCTGTGCTTCACTCTGCTCCTTTCCAGAGCTTTGACAAATGCAGTTCTGAATGTCTGCTCCACCCTAGCATGCCACCGCAGTCCTGAGTGCTCAGTCTGATTTATTTAATGGCCCTTACTCCGGCTCTTTCAGGGCTTATCGCTCACTCTCAGGTGTGAAAAAAAAACACCATTGAAACGCTATCCATTTCACTTGCTGTTAATCTTAAGGGACACTAAAGACCTTGAGATGAGCAGGCGAGGCCTCTTAATAAACTGAGAAAAAGGCACCATTACACAACCACACATCATTAGACAGTGAAGACAGCCATTGAGCACATAATAATTTTATGTTGTTTCTTTCCTCTTATTTTTACAAACTTAGCAATATTTGCATGACAAAATAGGATGGCGTGCAATATTTTAAAGCCAAATTTTCTAAAAATGTTATCATTATACATACTTTAAAAAGCCATGTTAATTTAACTGTAAATCAAAAAAAATATTCAATATGTAAGACTCAGTCATACATAATTTGCTTTAACCTTTCAGTGTACTGTAAATGTTTTCTTAATCAGTACCACAAAGAGTATTAAAAGGTGCTTCCTCTCTGATCAAGAGAGACTGTAGTCCTAATGCTAAATTATGAAAAGGTGAAGGCTCTGCAGTTTCTGGTACATCCACTTTCAATGGTTTGATGCTCTTTACAAATTTGCAGTTCTGTCACATTTACAATGCCTTGGTATTGAATGCATTATTTTCTAAAGCTTTTAAGTGACAATTAATCACTGAATTTCTGTTCCAGATCCAACAATTTCTACCTTGCCATGCTGTTATTTATGCTGTTCCTCTGCATGCTCCCCACAATCTTTGCAATAGTCAGGTATAGACCATCTCAAACCTGCGGGCCTTTCAGGTAAATTCCCTTATAGCGGTCTCCATCTGCACTCCTACAGCTCACTGATGTTTTACACTGCTTTGTTTCCTCATCTTTAAGGTTGTCCATTCATATGGAAGCCCGTTTCCGCCAGGGAGTAAAAAAACAAAAACCCGCTATGGTATCTCAGAATTCCGACTTAGTATCTCAGAATTGCGACTTAGCAACTCAGAATTCCGACTTTATATCTCACATTTGCGACTTCGAAATAGCCATATTTAGGGTGGGAGCGACGAGGGCACAAGCCCTAGAACCCGAATCCGTTACAATAACAAAAGGAAAGACAATGAAATATGGCTATTTCGAAGTTGCAAATGTGAGATATAAAGTCGGAATTCTGAGTTGCTAAGTCGCAATTCTGAGATACTAAGTCGGAATTCTGAGATACCATAGCGCGTTTTTTTTTTACTCCCTGGCGGAAACGGGCTTCCATACATTCATAACAGCCATTGGGGGTTATTCATAAATGTATTCTCTGTCCACCCTGTTCAAACACACAGATGGTCTTTTCCCCCTATTCATGCAGCCATCGTCAGGTTAAATGAAGTACTGGTACATTTTAGCTGTTGGTAAAATATTGGCAATTTTTCCACAGCTAGCAAATGACATTATGGTCCAGTTATGATGAGAGTAAAGTTCATGCTCTAGTAATGGCTGGTGGAATTCAACATAAAATAAAATACAAAAGAGGAAGACAAATGTCTCCAGGATCATGTTACTCAATGAGAGGAGATGGTGGAAATTATTATTACATAAATAATTTAATAAGAAAACTGTATCTGTAATAGAAGAAAAACTCACCAGACTCAGTTAAGTTATAATAAATGCAGGATTGGTCACACCTAACCATTGTCACACAAATATGAGAGAAACATATTTGTTTTCAAATTAAGGATCCTTAATTTTCTTTTAATCGCTGCAGTGACATAAAGAAAGTTATAGCCCACGGCACATGTTGTCTGTGGCACACAATCAAGTATGTATGTGGAAATGTTCCCATTAGTTGAGTGGAGTGGTCTATCCAGGGCCTCATTGTCACATTTTACAGCCATTTGTTAAGTTACATTAGTGTTTCATTTTCTGAAAAAAAATGTAACTGGAGTAGGTTTAGACCACAGAATTAAACAGGTCATTTATTACACAAACTGCAGTGTGTTTTATGTGCTAAAAACAATGTGCATTTCAAAAGTATAACATTTAAAAGTTAATTGGAAAGGTAGCACAGCAAAATATGGTTGTTCTTACTCATGACTGAAGTTTGCATGTTCTCCACATGCTTCGTGTGGGTTTTGGTCAGGTTCTCTGGTTCCAGTATGTTTGTTAATAAATAACTGATGGATGGACTACAATAGCAACTACTGTCACTGAAAACAACTGAAACATAAACTGGCAGTTTTACAAGCAGATTTGCACAGTTCAGTGCAGATTTGCCTTTTATTTCTGTGTAAACCTCCTAATAAAGATTTATCGTCAAAGCTGAAGTGTTTATCTTATGTCATGTAAAGAAACAGTAAAACAATAATTTTGTAGTTTAAAAGTATGGAGGCAAAATATTAAATCCAATCAAATCAATTTTCTCTTGAACTTGCACCTAACACCTTAATTATCTGCAACTGCAATTGAACTATTTTTGTACCCCCGTCCAGTTAGGCATCAAAAGATTTATAAATAACCTCGAGTTTCAAGGAAAAACCTTAAGTATATTGAATTTATCCTTTTCTGTTTTGTAGTGGCCAAGAGAAGATATACGACATAATTTCTGAAACTATTGCTACTGATTTCCCCTTGTGGTTCAGCAAAGTCATGAACTACGTCACAAGCCCTGTGGTTGTCCTTCCAGCCCTATTGCTGCTTTTGTAAGTCCCGTCTGATTGTCTTGGCACAGCTTTTGTGTTCTTAAGTCCTCAATCATGACTAAAGACACTTGGAGAAGGTAAGCTATGTAACAGTGCACCTGGAGACCAAACACACGGTCATTTGCATTCAAGTAATCCTACTCATCAACCGGTCAATGCTCATACATGTAGTTTAATCACATGCGCTCAAAACAGAAGTCTTCTTTGGTTCTTACAGGTTTTCTATCATCTTTTTTTCTCATTCCAGTATGTTAATCTACTATCTTCAGTCAATTGCGAGATCATTAAAGTTCACTAACAATCAGCTGAGAATGCAGCTTCAAACAGTGAGTAACACGCTGGCTGACTGTCCTGAGAATAGAAGTGACTGAATACTGTTTCCAGACTCCACTCTGATGGAACCCTGCATATGGTGAAAATAAACCAGAAACACATTTTGGGCACTTTTAAATTTAGAAGAAGATACAATTTGGGTTAGAAAAATGTTTCCATTGTAAGGACATTTCCACATAATCTGTTTGTTGGGAGTTTCACTCTTTGTAAGAAAAGGTTCTCACTTTGTGTCCACATATTGATATTAATATATAAATACTAATTCACAGTGGAATGGCATAGGGTAGTGGGTGAGCTTTTGTGTGCATTAACAATAGGTCATGGGTTCAAGTCTGTGCAGCAGACACTGCTGTTGTACCTTGAGTAGGGCTCCCCAGTTTCTCCAGTCCTCCAGCTGTTTAAGTGGCTACCAGTGCTGTGGGGAGAAATCCCTCCCAGTGTCACTTGCAGAGTGAGGGAGTCCCACTCTCTCAGCCTCCTTGATGCTACAGAACCCAGGATGAGCTGTGGCCAGATGTTCTGGTGTGGATTTATTTATTTTTTTTACATAAAGAGAAAAATAGCAGCAGCCAATTCTGTTATTTTCCTCCTTGTATGGCTAAAGGGTTGAGGGTAACAGACGTTTAGATTAATATAGATTCTGTAATTTAAAATTTAGTTTTTGCTTAAAATGACAATCCTTTTTCGTCATGAATATCCTAGCCTTTATGATGTTGTTTTCCATTTCCATATTTTATTTTCTAAGGTTATTCATGACTACTGTATGTTTATTCTAGGAGAGAACAGAAGATAAGAAAAAAGTTTTCCAGATGGCTGCAGGTAAACACTTTTTGAGTCCTTGATTTTCATATCAGATACATACCTTCAACATTTTGGGAAGTCTCTGGCTAAAGCAAGCCTGAATTTTTGCCTGGACTGTCTCTTTGTCTCATAGCTAGAATGCAAAGCCAGGAAGGGAGTGACAAGAAGCCAGAGCAGGAGAGCGATCTTACGAGCCAGGAGTCCTCCATTCGCTCCTCTTCGCCCAGGCGCAACGGCAGTGTGGCCAACTTTGAGTCTCCGGTCAGCAGGGGCAACAGCATTCGCACCATAGCACAGTCTGCGTCCCGCACGGATGTCAACAGGGCAGCAACCACGTCACAAAGTCCTTCCATCCCCATATTACAAAAACAAAGAAAGGAACAGATCCCAAACAGGCAGGAGCACTTTGATTTTGTCTTTTCTTAGAACATGACTTTCATGTTTCATTTAGAGCAGGAGTGACCAGCTCTGGTCTTCAAGAGTTTATATTAATAATAATTCTTAACACTTATATAGTGCTTTTCTGGACACTCCACTCAAAGCACTTTACAGGTAATGAGGACTCCCCTCCAAAACCAATGTGCAGCATCTACCTTGATGATGTGACGGCAGCCATAATTGTACACTCCCCACACATCAGCTATCAGTGGGGAGGAGAACAGAGTGATGAAGCCAATTCATAGATGGGGATTATTAGGAGGCCATGATGGGGAAAGGCCAATAGGACATTTGACCAGTACGCCGGGGTAACACCCCTACTCTTTTCAAGAAATTTGGGAATTTTAATGACCACAGAGAGTCAGGACCTCAGTTTTACATCTCATCTAAAGGACGGCACCTTTTTACAGTATAGCATCCCCATCACTATACTAGGGCATTAGGACCTACACAGACCACAGCGTGAGCACCCCCTACTGGTCCCACTAACACCTCCAGCAGCAACCTTAGTTTTTCCCAGGAAGTCTCACATCCAGGTTATGGGCAGACTCACAACTGCTTAGCTTCAGGGGGTTGCCAGTTGTGAGTTGCAGGGTGATATGGCTGCTTTTAGGTTTCTTCAGGTCTAAAGCTATGCACTCCAAATAAGAGCAAAACACACTGCACCAGTTTAGTTTCTTATTTTGATTTGACTCCGGTACTCTTAAAATGACGTTTTAACGTAGTTACAAGAAGAATACTTGGTAGCAAAAAAAGACCACTCCTAAAAGATATAATTTTGTATTCCTTTACTGAAGCCTTCTGTGCTTGACATTCAGAAAAATGCTCAGAAACAAGGGCGGAACTACCAGTCAGATTCAAACTGACTTAGTGGGCGGAAACAGACTAAATGCACTGCTGTAGATAACTTAGCCATTCTTTCAGCAATGATCCTGAGATGAATCTCCCTCTCAATGAATATCTTCTCCAATGAAAAAACAGTTTTTCTGCCAATTAAATGTCACTCTTTCCTTGTTTTCCCACAATTTCAAGGCATCCAGGATTTTTACATGGAGGCGCGAGTGGCTCCTGTAAATCAAAGTCCTACCACCATGTGGCATACAACCCCTCCAGCAGGTACACGGAGAATGTCCATTCAGATCCCTTGTTCAGAAAGAGCATCCGGCCCATGCACCCAGAGGCCCTCGGAGGAGGAGGAGGAGGAGGAGGGGCGCAGGGCTTCTCCAGCCGCAGATCTCACACCACGCGCTATGTGATTGTCAACGAGCACGAGGCCCGGAAGAAACTGCTGAGGTCTTCCACCAGGATACCGCGGCACTACAGGGTAGACGAGCCAGGGGGCATAGTGGAGCTGTATCCCAGGCACATCAAACGATACAGCATTCAGACTCCTCAGAGGTCACGCCAGCCACACCTCAGTGAAGAGGAAGAGGAGGAGGAAGAGGTAAAGAAAGTCCGTCGGGGCTCCTTCATCCAGACGCACCGGCCCCGATCTCTGTCTGATCTGCACCAGCCAGCGCGCTTTTACATCGGGGAAAAAGTGGAGAGCCACCACTCCCTGGTCAAAGACCTGATGAAGAGCTGTTACGGGTTTTATGAAGATGGCTGCGAAGTGGAGTGGGAGGATGCAGCCTCTCGCCCTCGCTCCCGGACAAACGTCAGAGCCGCAGATCCCCTGGAGCAGCATCCCGAGCCGCCAGTCAAGCCCAAGCTGAAACACAAAGCAGATCCGTGCCTCACAGAATCGGACTCGGCATCCATCGCATCCAGCAGCGATCAGCAAAACAGCAGCACCGACCAGTACATCCAGGTCATCCACAGCAAGGAGAAATACCTGAAGCCCACGGGCAAGCTGGCTAAAAAGAAGTCTAAGGCCAATATTGATTTTAATGTTTCTGGATCGAATGAACTGATCTGCTCCAATGTGTAGAGGAATTGTTCTGAATTCCATCTGTCCTTTCAACTTGCCTTGCATTCTTAGCTTTGCTGCTATGTACTACAGCTTAGTAGCTAGTAGTTCACCATGAAGCTTAATGTTTCATACACGTGACACACAATCAGGTTATTTCTCAAAATAGTTAAAAAAATTATTATTTCTGATCACCACATCTAGTTTCAGTGACACTAAGAACAGTGTTGTCTGTGCGCATGTTTGCAAACCTTTCACTCCGATCATGTGAGTGGGCTATTGAATTTAATGTATACTTAATAAGCACATTCATTTGTTTTTGCAATAACTACAATGAATAAAGCACACAAGTTAGTTTCAATCAGATTCCTTTCCAGCTGTTTTTTTCAGGTTCCCCCCATATTTCCAACTCAAACTCAAGGCAAAATAATTTTAAATTATCCTTTTATAATCAATTATGTTAAACAACAGTGCATTAAATTACCAAGTACACATATCAGATTGCATATTTAAGAAACAAAAGTTATTGAATGCTTTTCAATTGCTCATCCTCTACCACACACAACACATTTCCCACCTCCACAAATTCTGAAATGCATTCAGCTGATGAACCAATTTATAATAAGTACATTCAAAAGAGATCCATGAAGATACCAACACTTTCAAAATGGCAACGTCATCTCCTGTAAGAATCCCTTTTACTCCATTCTTTCTGCTTTTTAAAATGGCTAACTTGGCTTGACCCTAAAGGTAATTTGCAGTCTATACTCTTTCTCCTTTGTTCTCATAATGTAAAACCCCTGAGATAAACAAAGTACCACTGAACAAAATGCCAAACCCAGAGAAAAGGTCTTTCAAAACAGAAGAGAGGTTGCAATCTTAGACAGTACAAGAAACAATGACAGTCTTTTTACCCTATCTGTGCAGATGTGCATCTATCAAACCATGCTGAATAATGCACAAAAAGGAGTTTGTTGCCAGAACAGCATGAAGCACCCTCCACTGTAGATCACCCATTGTCTTCTGCAGTGGTGGTTTATAGAGACAGTTTCTCCCTGCAGAAGTTACAGAGAGTTCAGCACAAAAATGTTCTTGCCCGTGTTTGTCAGACAAATGGTTAAGACTATCATAATACCTAACACAAATTGTACAGAACTCCTTCTTAACTATGCTAAACATTTTCCCAGGGATGTACAGTAGCTGTTATGTGTTGCAGTTGGTGTGACCTGCAAATCCAACAATGGGGGTTCTGATCAGGACTTGCAGCCCCTGTACAAAAATCTCCTAATAGGAACAATTCGTCTCCTGAAAAAGTAGTGTGTCTCTTCATATGAAACTCACTTATGAACTTGACAGATATTTTGTTGAGGAGCCAAGCATTTACATGTTCTCCAATCTCTCTTATTCATGTCTATCAGGTGAACATTTTTAGGAATCCCTTTGGACATTAAAATACTTATGAAACTATCACAACCTAAAGTTTGACAAGAAAGGGCAGGAATGTACACCAAATTCAGTTCTAACAACTGACAGGCCTACAGAATTAAAATCACAATGGACTTAAAAAAAACTAAAAGGTCTAAAAGACTTAAGGTTAAAAACCTTTAAACCTCATGACAGAAACATCCACATCAAACAAATTAAGATTGTCTGTACTTATTAATTACAGATTTCTGTCACATTGTACGTTTCTACAAAGAAAACAAAAATCTATATTCCTCAAGAGAAGTGTTTTAGCATATAGAAGCCTCTACAAAGTCTGAAGCCTGTCATCGTGACACCAGCACAATTAAGTGATGCCAAAACATAGTGATGAAGTTAGTAATAACCAGAACCTACCTACTAAAAGACATTTTGGTGAGCAGCCACTGCTACAGTAGCTCTTCAGCCTGCCTTGGATGTTTTCAAACACGCCCTCCCCATTCTTCTCTGCCACTCCATCTCTTCACCCCTAAAAGTTCACTCTTAAATACCTGAACACCTGTCTGGTCCACTGTCACTGCAAAAGTTCACTATTTTCCCACTTTACAATTACAAACACATTGCTTTTAGCCAAATTACCTTAGCTTGTTGATTATAGGCTCTCAAAGCCTCCTGATGGGTAGTACCTGATTTTAGTTTAGAACTCAGATCAGAACATGATTTTACAGTAGTTTGAACCTTCATTATTAACAATCACTGCCATATCATTTGCATGACCACCTGGACTGGTCTTTTAAGGACATTTGGAATAGACAGGCCAGTGGTAGTGTAAAAGTATTCACACCCTATGGTATGCCATTATGTTAAATTACAAAGTGCTGCATAAGCAGTTTCCTCCTTGCCTGTTGCTGGGTTAGGAGGGGCAGCCTGATCTTGGTTGTGTCTTGTTGCCTTCTACCTTCTGCTTCTTAAGGATCAACATCACCACGCTCAAAGAGATACAGTATTAAGGGTCTTTAAACATTTCAACTAATTTTGTGTTTCATTAGGGTAATTTGGGGAACTTGATTCATTCAAGTTTGTTAAAGCAAAGGGTTAGAATACTTACTGGAAACAATCATCACTTCTTTTGCATTTTTTACCTATTATTTATTTACTTCTTTTTGTTTTCTGCTTTAAATGTGTGAAGTAGGTTTTCTATATAACAAATACCAGTTGCTGCTTCAAAGTGTCATGACTGCAAGCTTTAAACAACAGAATGTGTGAGGGACTGGCATCACAAACAGGATGTATCCTGCCTGTTGCACCAGTTGCTCTGGCTCCCCCATGACCCTGTATTAAATTAAGTGATTAGATAATGTACAGATATTTAAATTCACTAAATGCACTACTTAAGCCTCATTTAGAATATTGCATATCATTTTGGTCACAATAATAATTTCTGGGGTCAATCCAGAGAAGAGCAACCAGATGCATTCTGGGACTTAGAATAGAGAAGATGCCAAGAGACCGGATACAAGTACTGTGCTTCAGAATGACCTGTGAACCCCATGGACACAAGCGAAAACCTTGTGGAAGTGCACTTGAATCTGAGAATAGGAGGAGGTGGTAGGAGTGCGGAACAAGCTACTCAGCTATGAGGCTGAAGCCAGTAACTTGGCATACTGTACAAGCACCTGAATGACAGCCTTGGATCAATAAGCTGCTAACCACTAAATGGGCCAGACAGCCACATGGCCTCTCCTTGTTTGTAACCTAATGTTATAGATTCCTATAGAACTGACATAACATTAAACATTTTATAGGTTTATTCCATGCTGAAAAAAAGAAGAAGGAAAACACAATGTTTCGGCCGTGGAGCCATTGGGACTTGTTTTTAGAATAAAAAAGATAGGCTTTGTAAATATCCAACATTAGAAATATATTTGTTTACATTTTATTTTATTTAATTTAGAGCACAAAAGGGCGTGTGACCTACAGTAGCCTGTGACTGTAGCCTACGTGCTACCAATACTGCTTGCAAAATGTGACTTTAGTCACAGATACTTCTCCCAGATGATATAAGATATTGATCCTGTTGTGCAACGTATATTATTACGCATCTCAAAACAATATTTCCGGGAAAAGATCAAAATTCAGCTATATGTAATTCAGCCTATAGAGCAGGAATTGTCAACCCCAATCCTCGAAGTCTGCATTCCTACACCTGCTACAAGAAATTTCAGTTCGCATCTAATTAAGAGTTAAAACAGAAGTGATTATCCAAATGGTTAATACAATAACCTAAATATCAGAAGTGCAGAGAAAATCAAAGAAACCCCACGTCCATGCAATAGAGTTTACACTGTGCTGTAATGCCTGAATTGTGTGTACTGCCATTTAATTGGAGTACGAAAAGTGATGTGCGATGTCCTTATCAATGTTTCTGCCAGACTCCCATTCCCGTGGCTAACAGCGCATCGGCGACAACAATATTGGATTTAAGGCTGCGTTACATCAGAAAGGGTAGATTGCGTAACGCACAATATTCCGATTAAAATGAATCCCTAAGATTTCACTACCTGGTTTCATTTAGCTGCATGTGCGCTGGGAGGTGTAGTTACAGATGCTTGTGAACACTTGGAATCACTCAGCGTTGCAGCTGAGAAGGACTGCAAATCCCAGAATTCAGTTTTCTTGCGGACGAAAATGTTAGCAGTGGCAAGGCAGCGCTCTTCCTTTATGAACGTTTTACCGGCAAATAAAAACAGCAGAATTTGTTATTTTCGTGTGACAGTTAAACACTTCATAGTTTAACTCATTTACATTTCTTCAAGAAATTGTTGATGCATATACAGTACAGTACGAATGTGAAAAGATATCGATGACCGTTGGGTATGGGTTTAAACGGTTAATTCAATTTGATATTTCTGTTTCTAGATGCGGTATTTGCGGTATTGTTTGAACATAACAGTTTGAAGGTTGTGCTTTGACTGTGGTGCTATAGCTCCGGACTGGACTTTTGACAGGTGGAGCCGAGCTGACAGGCACCTGCGCTCACCGCGGCGCTCTGTTCCTGCCATGGATTACAAGCACATTGCGAGCACAGTGGCTGACAACCTCCTCAACTGCAGCAAAGACCAGACAGGGTGGAAAGTGTGCAAGAAAACGGTAAGCCCATGAGCAATAAGAAGCGAACATGACAAATATGCCTCAGTTTGTACCAGATAACTCAGTTTTCTGTTAACTATCACAGCCAGTGTCAGAAACGATCTGCCCAGGGGTTTGAATGACATTCGCTCGTGGTACTGGCGCGTTCGGTAATTGTTCGTCTTCGCCTGGACAACAACACAATCTTTGCCATTTCGGCTCCTCTGTATAATGATTATGTACAGACGAAATCGTTCAACTGACGACTTGATGAAAATAGATATATTTTAAATGTCCCGGTTTTACAATTTACTGTATAACTCACCTAACAGTTTAAACCAACTAGCTACTTTACTGTACATAATTCTTTGTTTTTTTGGATTTATGTGTAAATAGCACTTCCTTTAGTAGTGTCTGGGAAATGCTAACATCCTCTAATAGCAGCAGAATATAATGTCGACACTTTACTCACATTTTTCTTTTTCAATTCTGCATTTAGAATGAAGTAACAGTTCACTGGAGGCCTTCAACCGAGTTTCCAGGAAATTTGTAAGTCAATTTGTGTAACCAAATAAATCACTTTATGTTGTTATTATTATCATCAATAATAATATCATCATCAGCCAAGTTGCATTGCAATACAGACAATTTACATTAATTGCAAGTACAATGAACAATACATTCGGGTGCAATAGGGTGAAATACATGGGATTAATGGAATTACAATAGGACTAGAATGGCCGGGGTGAGCAAACAGATGTGATAATAAGATTTAAACTAGTTTACAGGTACCATCGAGACAAATCATGTAGATATGTATACCTTGTTTGCAATTCAATTCAATTATATTAGTAGCTTCAGCCTCCAAAGCAACGCTGTATAAATGTTAGTGAAGTGTACCTACAGACAAGATACATTACCCAAACTGCTTCAACATACAGTACCACTGTGGATTAACTGGTACCAATGCGTCATTTTTACTGATACTAAATATAAAAGACTTTAAATATTTATATTTAAAAAAGGAAGCAGTTGTTTCTTAACCTCCATAGGTTGCTTTGTAGAAAAGCAGCATTTAAATGAAAAACAGAGATACAGTACAGTAGCAGTGGTGTTAGCAGCATGTCACCCACCAGTGGTTAGTTAGCCCCTGGAGTTACAGGTAGTGTGTGGGACCTTGCTCTGCTGCTGCATCACTGTCTTCGGGGTTCACTTTCACCCTCCCAGATACAAAGGAGTGGGCGCTGTCAATGGGAGCCCAGAAAAGGTGTGGGGGTGCCTGGAACCAGTGCCAGATGGGCTCAGAGTCAAGTGGGACAACAATGTCAAGAGGTTTGAGCTCATAGAAAAGATCGATGACGTAAGTTTCCTCGAACGCTGTCGTGTTGTATGAAATCAGACCCGCTACCGTGCTTTAGCCTTTGCTTTCCTACTGCTGCACTGTTTGTCATTCGTTCTGATTGGGTTTGTGTATTTATGGCAGCAAAACGTAAGCTATACATGCAAAATGTGGTGCTTGAAAAGTCTACTTATAAGAGAGACTCTTATTTGTTTTGTATGTGTTTTGTGTGACACGTCATTTGCACTTTCTGTAGTGTGTTGAGATGTTGTGTTAAAATTGAACATTGTACTAGTACGACCTCGTTTAATATTGGCCACGTAGCGAAAGGCTTTGCTGCGCTGGAATCAGTCCAGACAAGAGCATCCGGATTCCAGAATTAAGGGAATGTCCTAAACTGACTTGTTAGTCTTGAACAGAGACATCTACAAGGAGACCTGATATTAGTATTCAGAAGACTCAAAGACTTTGACCAAGTCAACTCAGGAGATTTCTTCAGAATCAACAGTGAATCATAAAATAGAGGACGCAAGTAGAACTACGTTGCGGTACATTTAAAACGAAGAACAAGACACACTTATTCCCCAAAGAAATGGGGGTTCTGGAACAAACTTCCACGGCATGCTGTTGAAGTTCATGCCCTGGCTAGTTCCATGAAATGGCTAGATGAAGTCTTTGATTTAATTAACTGCTAACTACCAAATGCTTTTGTAGTCGATGTGCCTGCTGTCTTTTGTAACTGTTCCTGCTGTATGTTCATATGGCATCCTGAGTGCTCTCATTAGGGATTGACTAGAGTTACATCTTTCGTCTGATCCAAAAATTATTTTTCTAATGTGAAACAGTAATCTAGGTGCAGTTCCAGTGAACTGAGATCACTATTATTTGCATCTTAGTAAGTTAACCCGACCTCTGCTGGTTATGCCTTTTTGTCAATTACTACAGCACATACCACTTCCTGAGATGAATGAGTATTTCATTAGAAGCTTAGAAGAAGCTTCATGAACAGGTATTGTTTAATGGGGTAATATTGGTTATACTTAGTAAACTAGTCAATAACCTTGTTTCAGAAACAGGATGTCCATACTGTATATTTGCTGCTGTACTGTATACAGTATGTATACAAATGGTAAATATGTCCATGGTGCTGATGAGTTATGTGGAGCACATTGTCCTTGCCTCATTTTCTATCCTGCAGAATGTGTCTGTGTGCAGAACGGTCACTCCCTCTGCTGCAATGGGCCTTATATCGCCTCGAGACTTCGTGGATGTTGTTTTAGTTAAGCAATATGAAGATGGCACCATTACTTCAAATGGTGAGTAGTCGATTTTTCTCAGTGCTGAAACTTAAGACGAAGTTGTGTGCCTTTCAGTCATTAGTCTTCAGTTTGGCGCTAGCTCACATTGGCAAACACTTGAAGTATATTCCATCTCCATTCTATTTTGAAATATGTGTTGACTTAAAGGATAATATGGGTTAGCCCTTAAGTCATGGTAATAAACATCAGACTGTGAGGTACAAACCAATAGAATGTAGTAGTACATTTTAATTAGCTCTAAAACAGAGAAGTCATGCAATTTTTTCCATTTTTCGTGTTTCTGGTACATGTAATTATCCATGAAGCAAATAAACATGGTTTTGATTTTGTTGTAATGTGATTTTGTCATAGAAATTATATTTATAAATTTCTTTAAGTATCTAATTTAATTTGTAGATTAAGCAAAGAAATATGACCGCATCTTATCCAAAGAAATTGTGAATGCATTTGATTTTCACGGTTTGTGAAAGACACTTTGTTTGAAAAAAAAAATAACTTACAAGATTTGGAGCAGTGCCATTACTTGTGTTCAGAACCTTTAGAGTGCCATGCAACAGTCTCACCCCTTCCAGATATGTCCTGTGTTGAATTGTTTTCAAAAAACAATCTCTTTAAATTACTAAAGATGCTTACAGGTTTTCTTTAAAAGTGCATTATTTTTAATCAGAACTTCAATGCTCAAACTGATCATGATTATGGACCAAAGAAGTTAAATGTCAGCAAAAAATGCAAAGAAAAAATCAACAAAATCTAAATTTTGTTGATTGCATTCATCTTGCATTGCATCACAGATATTCACTCCTCTGAATCAAGCTCAACTTTTTGAAAATTCCTCTGGCAGTTAGATATACTGTAGTTCTACCAACATTGCACACCAGGATGAGGCAGTTTTCACTTGTATTAACTAATATTATTGTGTTGCAAGAACACAGGGTTGCACACTATCATCGGTGTGACAAGTAAAATATTGGCCCAGAGGCATGGTTAATGATTTTTCCAGTGAAAATCACTGAAAATCAAGTGCATTCGCAGTTCAAAGAAAGTATGGCTTTAAGGCTTGGTGTGAATACTCAGATTTAGTGCATTGCTTTTAAATACCGCCTTATGAGAACGCTGTCATTCTTTAGCAACCAATGTGGAACATCCTGACTGCCCACCCAAACCAGGCTATGTCCGAGGGTACAACCACTCCTGTGGGTGTTTCTGTGTTCCCATTCCAGGGTAGGTTATACTTGAATGCTTTCCACAAACTGAGCCGAACAGATTAGACTAATAAGGGGAGGGAAGGTGATGGCAGAGGAAGTGGGGCTAGTTCTTCAATACTAATGACTTTCTTAAGCTATTAATTAATTAATTAATTAATTAATTAATAGGATTTTACTTTATTAGTTAATTTATTAATTGATCATTATTAATTAAAGGAATTAGTTAAATGAATTAGTCAAGCTGTCCTGCAGGCACAAGATCTTTAAACTTTCCTAGAAAAGTTCAAATAGGGAGGTGTATGGTTTCTGTTTTCTGTATTCTCATTATCACCTTAATTAATAATAATATTCTAAGTGTAGATAGTATTTTTATGTGCATTTTATTTTAAGCATGGGTATATCCATGGTGTTCTTTGAAAAGCATTGTAAGAGTGGCCTATGTAATAATACTGCACAGGCAATAATTTGGATTGCAGTTATTATAAAAGGTCAGATGAGGGTAACAGAGATTACTGACGCGTTACTTCTTGTGAAGCGCAGTATGTTTACATACGCTATTAGCGTTGGATTTTTTTTGTGAAAGTAAAAATAATCTTTCTTTTAAATACCTTATTTCCAAAATGTAACAATTTTAGAAGACGCCCAAGGAATGGAAGTTCACACAATGTAAAAAAAGGGAAAGAGGGACAAGCCTCTCACCAGAAAATTTGCAGAAGCAAAGTGTATCCCATTAATACTTTCCATATAAACAGAAGGTGACATTCACCATCTGTAAATGTTGCATCTGTATTCAACGATTGTACCACCAAACCCGTGCTGAGTAGTATCTGGAGAAATAAGTACAGGCCCTGCGCATGGCGTGAGATGCAGCTTATGCACAGTCACTATTGGAATAGTTTCTTCTCATTCCATTCTTTCCATGTCCCCTTGTTTTCCAGAGAGCCAAACAAGACACAGCTGTTAAGCTTTTTTCAGACCGACCTGGGAGGCTTTCTCCCACGATCTGTGGTGGATTCCTTCTTCCCCTCCAGTATGGCCGAGTTTTACAGCAACCTGGCAAAAGCAGTGAAAACACTCAAAGACAATTGACAGTCCTTATTAGAAATTTAAAAAAACAATCACATCAAACTGAAACTTTGTTTATTCCAATTACTGGAAAACTGTACCTTTATTCCTGACTGTACAGCGGTATCACAGATGCTGCCAAATGCCCTTTAATGTCACAGAAAAAAGTACTTGAATATCAGTATATAATAGTATATCAGTATATAATAATATAAGTATATAATATATCAGTATGAAGTATAAAGTACTGAATATCAAACAGTATTTATTACCACTATAGATCAAATTTAATTTAAAATACAAATATTAAATTTGTATAATGAAATGTGCTTTTTGTAGATGGTCTTTTATTTCTATCTTGTGACTCTACTAATCGCTTAGTTGTTTTGTCAAATTTTCACTGACATTCCATTTTTTTTTAAATGGTTATTTAGGCTAACAGGCTAGGTACAGGGTGTATACCATTTCTGTGAAGAGTGATTGGGTGAGACTGATTTTTTTTACATCTACCACAGAAGCATACTGCGAGGTAATTTATTTTGTAAAGAAGATAAGACTGTACTGTGTTGTTGGTGTATACTGGTGTATACTAAAAGCTAGGCACTTTTTAAAGGTTTGCCAATAGTCATTAGCTGTGACAGAGCTAGTAGTAAAACTGCGGTCCGTTAGGTAAAACAGAGAGCCAGCATGAATAATGTACAACTTGTTAATGTTCCTCTTGAGTCATGAATTTCTCTGTAAACTGTTAATTAAGTGTACGGATACCAGCTGTGTTGGTCCACTGTTCCCTGCCTTCTTCACACTGAAAAACACTTTTTTAATTATTTGAGTTGTTACTTAAGTACATTCAGACATAATTGTGAGTTTGCTTATTTGGTATTGGCTAATATGCATGGTCTCATTTTTTAGATTTTTAATTTCTGAAATTAAATTGAAGATTTTCATTCATTCTGTGTCATGCATACTCAGGATATGTCTACGTTTATACATTGTCCGCCCTGGAAAACTTTATTTAGCAGTAATATAAAGATCAGTTTTAATATTGATGAGTAGACTATACAGTATAAACAGTACCAATGCTATGCTATATGTTTCTGTCACTTACAATTATTGTGTTTTAGCATTTGTGTGTATCGGTCTTGAATTAAGAGATGACGTTTGGTCATGTACACTGTACAAGTTGATTATATTTTAGATTATTTGATCATTTATTTTTAGAACACTTTTGTAATAGATATCCTAATGAATGAGATATGGACATACCTTAATATGTGAATCAATTAATATGTGAATCAATTGCTGCTATTAGAAAACAATCACCTAAATGTACTTGGCATTATAATATTTAATAAAATGAGATAACTGCAACACTGAGGTTGGCAGTGTGTACGAGTGATATATTTTGTGCATTTACTGTGTTTTGTATCTAAATTTCAGAATTATATTTTGACTTATTTCACAGAGTGAAAGTACCAGTGTTGTTGCATCAGAAATGGTGAACAGTGTTCAAATGACATTATCATGGGATTGAAGTAGAAACTCCAGTCTTCTTTAATTAGAATGTCCTGAAGAGACCATGCAATGAAATGGCTGAGCTGGTTGGATTTGGCTTGAATGGTCCATTTCATAGTTTTCATTAATGGAAGAGGGGAATGACTGTTAAAGAGCAAGATTTATTAGATTAGTTATGAAACCCATGCACTGCTGAAGGAGTGGACAACATTTGTCCTTTTATTTTCCTTTCTTAAAACCGTGACTATGGAAGGTTGCTATTGAAATGTACAGAATAAAAGTTATTGCGTTCCACAGAAGAGATACATCAAACACATTTGAAAAAAGTTGAGATGTTTATTCGTGAATACCCAATGCTGGGAGTTAAAAGAAATAATTAACTTAATGCAAAATCTTCTCTTTTTAGCCATATAAAATCTTTTTTTCATATACTTCATAAACTTTATTTATCTTTACAACAGAATAATTCTGTTTGTTTTTGCCAGAAGTGTCTGTTTCATACAGTATGTATGTATTGATATATGTGTAAGTATTGATACAGTTCTGCAAGTATTGTTTCTCGTACCATCAATCAGGATATACAGTCAAAAGGTCACAGAGACAGTCAATACTTCATTTCCAAACCAGACCTTCAAAAGCATTTAAAAGCTGAGCTAAACATTGAGCACCATTTAGATATGTAGCTATAAATGAGTTAGCAGTTTTACACTGTTCATTAAGAAACTTGTAAGTGTTGGACAAGCTGTTCTGTACACTGTTGTACTATCTTGACCTGTGACATTCTGGCGTTATTTATTTCTGGCTTTATTTCATTTTCAAAAATGCAGCATCAACTTGCAATCACAGAACTTCTTTTACATTCTGCTCCATCCCCTATTCTATGTAAACACTATTGTTTAATTTTTTTAATTCAAAGTACAGTACCTGCTCAAAAGTCCAACAGCGTTGGAAGTGATAAAGTACTTATGTTTGGTTTTTAAGACAATCATCTGCGCTCAGGTTAAGCTCTGTGACTTCAGGTTCAAGCCTGAGTCGTGTTACCAGTTGACTGTGACCATGATTCCCCAAGCTGCAGCACACAATTGGCTTAGCATGGAAGTAGCTGGCCAGGTTATTGATTCTTAGCAGCTTGAAGTGCTGTCAAATGACAAACGTTCCTGTCTTCCCATCAGTGCCTAACCTTCATCACAAGGCTTTGGTGACTGTGACGTGTGATGACTGGCTCGCTACAAGGCTTTGGTGACTGTGACGTGTGATAACTGGCTCGCTACAAGGCTGTGGTGACTGACATGTGACAAGGAGTCTGTCCCCAAGCCCGCCACAGTGTGCGGTCAGAGGTGAAAACTGGCAATTCCAAAACTGGGTGAGATTAACAAAAATAATTGGCAATTCAAAATTTGTAAAAAATGTGTTTTGTACTTGCTGAGAGATAACATTTTCCCCACACAGAAAGTACATTGTTTTTGTGTTGATTTTTATCACATACTGTAGTTGGAAAATTAAAATAATGTTTTTTTTTCACTTTTCTTATGGGCTACATTTATTATGTACTGTATAGTATATTTATTCTGAGCAAATCTGAAAACTACTGTTTTTGAGCTTTTTGAAATATAGAGTTCTTTGTTGTTTCCCTGAATGAGAATATCTGTGTATGAAGCAGATATTATATATAGCAGATAAACAGATCAAGTGCAATGAAAAGAACTGCAGGCTGACCTCTCACACTATAAAACATTACTAGTCCTTCCTATTGGAGCTGCCTGTTTTGGTTTGCATTTAAAGAAGCTAAGGAGACTTTTTTCTCTATCATCTGATATGGATTCTTGTTACATTTTATGTTCTGGTATTGAAATATTTCTGTGCAATTGTGAAAAGGCGGAATTATAGTAGCTGTTCTTAAAGGGCTGATTTGTGGAGGAACATCCTTGTTTTATTCAGTATCTGCCTTCTTTCTTTTGATAACAACTTTAATAGGGCCCTCTGGCAGACCCTTAATGATAGTCCAGGCCTCAAACCGTGTGAGCCCTTGTAGGCTATTTTCTTGCACTTGCAGTAACTCATCACCTTGCTGGATCTCACCCTGTTCAGCTACCCCGCCTGCAGAGAGGAAAAGGGTTCACAGGTTAATGTGAAACTAAAGAGGTTAAATACTCAAAAACATCCAGGGCTGAAGTGATGTGGTCTTTCAATTTTTGTAACATCACAATATTTAACAAACCTGTCCCTTCTTATTCAAATGAGCAAACTCTCAATGGTGCTTTCTTAATATTGGCTGCAGCTGGATGCTATAAAAATTTGCTGGTACGATGGCCAAGCAAATAGATAGCATTCAGAACACAGTATAAGAAGCTCAGCACAACAAAGTTAAAAATTAAAACTTTTATCAGAGCAAACTTTACTGATCAGAAGGATCAAGCAGGAAATGAAAAAGTTTAAGAACTAAAAATAGTGCACTTTTTAGTGTCTTATGTATGTTAAAAAACTGTATTAATTACTTCGAAATGGTAAAATGAGTTTTAATTTTGCAAGGAGAACAAATATCAGATTGAACTTGAAAGTTAAGAAATCACATCTTGGTGAATTTTAATTGCACTAGTATGGATCATACTACCCATCTATGTTGTTATGATATTATGATGATATGTTGCTCTGTTGGCTATACTATTTTGTCATTAAGATCGGCATTGGAACACAACAGTTTAAGGAAGGGCTTTAGTTAAGATGAGCTGCCACTAGAGACCACTAGATGGCGTCTAATCTTTGTAAATACACTATATATGTAGGTGTTATTTTGGTAATTTGAGACTATACTGATTAAGGGTAGAATCTGTCACAAAACTCAGAAGTACTCTGGTTTGAAAATATACAAAGCTTCTAACCCAGATATTTTTTCCTTTTTTCTTTTTTTTTGTAAACTGCACTGTGGCCTTATACTAGTGCTATGGATAATTGATTTGGGAAGCCCTGAGCCCTTTCCACAAATATGGAAAGCTTCAGATAGAAAAAAAATGTGGTGGCATGCAATGTTCTGGGACAGGCATGATATCAATTATCAAGAGGGACTTGCAGTGGCTCTCATTATAGAGCGGACTTTAGCTGGACACTTGGGGATTGTGTGATTGGTGTGGTGATTCCACTCACCACTAGGGGGTGCTCTTTCTGAACCTAGACTGGTGTGGTGGTAGCTGTGAGAGGTCTGCTGATGAACCCTGCTATGCATGCCTTACTGCTCAAGGAAGTAAGGGGGGAAGGACCACAAGTAACCCACAGCCTTCTCAGGAGCCTCAGAGCAGAAGTACAGTCATCAAGGGACTTGAAGGAAATACAGAAAGGGCCCAAATCTCTGTGTGTCCTAGGAAACAGCTCAGCATAACTGTTCCATGAAACCAGAAACGAAAGAGAACAGGAATGGGAAAATTCCAGAGCCTGCGACTATTTGAGAAGTTGAGCAGAAGGAGGTGTTGAACATCCACGACCAGGAGTTCAAGGATCCATAGATCCACATGTGCTCCAGCTGCAGGGGCCAAATAACTGAATTCCAGCAGCTGGCCTAGGGCTCAGGAATAACTGAAACTGTGTCACAAGTGCACAAAACTCTCCTCAGAGCTGAAGAAGCAGAGTGATGCCCTGAAGGCTAAAGAACCTGGAGTCCAAAATGGCAACCTGTTATAAAGATCAGATAGCTGCAGTCGTGCCAGGTTGAACACAAACAGAACTTAAAGAAAATCTGGAAAAGTTGGACAATGAGCTGGAAAAGTCTCAGAGTTGCAGCAACAGCCTCTAGGTTCAGCTGGAAAAGGGCCAGAAAGAGCCAAAAAGAGATGGTCACTGGCTGACCAGTGCAGAGACAGAAGTGAAATAGGGGAAATGTTTTGAAAAGAGAATCCTTTTTACATTATCCTTGCTAGAAACCCAGACGTAGGAAAAGAGCAACCGGAGGAAGAAAGAGATGAAGCTGCCCTGGCCTGAACCTCCAGAGGAGGAAAAAGAAGAAAGTCTGTGGTTTTCCTGGCCTGAATTCCCAGAAGAGGCGGGGGACAACTGTCTACTGTTTCCATTATAGCTTGTAGGCCTTGAAGAGGTACTGTAGGAGTAATAGCTGGCCCTAAGTCTGCCAAAAGGATAAAAGAGGCCAGTGCGTCCATGACCTTTCCGTAAATACCAGAGGATACAGAGGGTGATGCCTGGGCAACAATGCTGCTATCACTGCAGCAGCCTCCATCCAAGGGGAAGGTTGTCACTGGGAAGTGCATTCCAATCCACACAGCCTCCAGGAAACAACAAAGGAAAATTGCTGGGCAGGGGACTTGTAGTCTCCATACATTTAACCTCATGGCGGAGGTTGCTAAACTCATGGGGGAACTGTTCCCCCCCAGCCTGCCTGTTGGCAGCAGGTTGACTGACTCTCTCTTCATTGGTTGTGGCAGACCAGCGAAGGGAAGGGCTGAAGTTGCAGCTGACCGCCACTAGAGGGTACTACACAACCTCTAATCTTGGTAAAGAGCTACACAGTGGATGTTAAATTACTGTAGGTAATTGATTAGAGTTGTGTTGAAGGCTGTTCATGCCCTCACACATGCATTAAGTTTGTATTTGATATTTAAAGGTGTAATAGTGGCGGTTATAGTTTTTTTTTTGTTTTCACAAGCAAAAGCATAAAATAAAAGCCTCATGTACTGACCAGTAGCTGGGACTATGGGTTTTTGTGTGTGCAGACTCTTATTACCATCCAAGTTAAAGGAAGGGTCTGTCACAGTCATTTTACTTTAAGGCAAGATGTGCCTGAAGACTGGAGGTCAAAAATTCATCACACAGGACAGACCCCACACACAAATTGTGCTCGAACAGGATGACCATCTTTACCTGTCACATTTCCAAATGTGTCGATTAAGCAAGTTACATCCTATAAATATTTAGGAATATGCACACTCACTTGTTCTACATGAAGAATATCGGCTCATGCCTTCAGACATTTTAATATAGACTAAAGAAAATCAGAAATTCTTTTATCCCAGTCAATCTAATTACTCAGTAAATGAATTCACAATAAAAGAATAATGGTTTATAGGCAAGTGCAATCAGTGGATTGTGTGCAAAAGTGGAGGTAATGTGTCATTATATGCACTTACTGTACTGTAAGTGTGCATGAAGTGCATTTACAGGGTTGTGGTGAAATTGTGTGGGTTCCTGTTGGAGTGGTGTTAGATGAATGAATGGGTGATGTCTGTTATATATTGGTAATGTAATGTACAATGTTTGCCTGTAGTTATTGTATGTTTTGCAAGTTTTTCGTGTGTAAAACATAGCTGTTTTGATGCAAGACACATTCCTGAGAAATGAGACAATAAAGTATTATCACATTGTAGCAGCATAGGTTCAGATGTCTGGAGTCTGTGCTTGGCTTTGGTGCCTTCCTTCATTCTAAAAGTGGCACAAGGTACTTAGCCAAAGCTATGCCAATAGTTATTCTCTTGCATTATATGACAATAATAATTATTACTAGTAATGATAGAAATAGAAACGTAAGTAAGAAAGGCTTAACCTGCACATTAGTCCAGTGGATCCCAGCCCTAGTCCTAGAGGGATAATGCTTTCTGATTTTCATTCCACCTGAGCTATACATCTACAGAGCTAATTGCTGACTTAATTGAATTGCTTGCTTGTTTTAACTTTGTTTAGCTTGTTTCTTCAGTCATTAACAAGTGACAAAACACTCCTGCTTCAAGAGTACCATTTCTCACTACTTCAGTTCACAGATATGTATGCAGCTTTACCTCAACTTGCTTGCCATGATTTCTGACTTTAAAGCTCTTAATAATCGACCACTTTATGATAAATATGCACAGATGGGAATGACCCTGTATCAGATACTTTCACTATGAGTCCTTTTTCCTTCTGCAGAGCTCCAGTTGGTGACATTTCAGGAAATGCACACAAATGTGGGCAGTTCTGAACCTCTTAGAGTGGTACATCCCAATCACAATTACAATTGACCTTTTAAAATCAGAAAGCAAATTCAGGAACAGGGTTGGGATCTGCTGCAATGGAATAAAAAATAGACAAACATCCTCTCTGCACTGAGATGGTGTGAAGAAACTTGGAATGCTTTAGTTAAAAACAAACTACTTGCTGTTTAATCAGCAATGATGTCCGATATGTTTATGAATTACTATAACATGTTATTAGCATTCTGATTCAGATTTAATGTCATCCTACAGTATAGACAGAGAGAGAAGGGATTACTGTACTGTACAGTATATGCCATAATAGCTTAAATTATGTGGTCCTTTCCTAGGGTACTCTTCTGACATTTAAACATTATTTTTATACATTGACACCATTGCAATTCCAGGTCTTTTTTCAAGAATCATTACTTAAACAGTTTACCTTTAAAAATCCTGTTGATGACGAGCGGTTTGTCTCCATGAATGGAGCCTTTTCCTCCCTCCAGACTGAAGCCCACCCCTGCTGCGTTTTTCTCCAGTGTTACAGTCAGAATTTCCCCAGGCTCGTCTGCCAATGACAGCAGAAAAGGAATGATTGAATTATCTTTTTTTAGGTTTGAGCTTTGACTATTTTAGATGATGCTTGGCCAAACCTGGAGGGTTTTGATTCCAAAAACAAATGTGTGCAATACTCACACTTCCTCTGCTTTATTTAAAACTTTTTTTGCCTTGGTTAGTTTAGTAGTGGATTCTGTGCATGTCAAGAAAGAATTTCCTTCATAGACATAAAGCACCAGAACTAAGTTTTTTCAAAACTGTATTGGAATTAAGACATGTTCGTTGCTGCACCGTTATGACTTTTTAGAGACTAAGACTTCTAAGTTACTAGAATGTACTATGACATGCAAAATTTAAAACATCAGAACAAATCTGCAGTTTTAATGATTGTTTGACTGGCAGATTGTTTTACTGAATTTCTCTACCTCTCAGTGTTTCAGGGATATTGATTGGGTCACCATGTACTTAAACCTCCACCTTATTGGGGCATTCCACTATGAAATCAGTGGAAAAAGGACTTTTAGATCTTGCAGTTTTGTCTTTTGCTCATTTTCTCCCTTTACATGGAGCTTGTGTTAGCAATGTGTGGTCAAATTCAAGACATGACAGTGCTTCTCCCTAGAAAAAAGTACCCGTCTCGTTCTGACGCTCTGCACTGCTGGCAGCTGCACTGCAGTCACTGGTCTCAGAGGCACTTTTCTCGTTTTCCTTTGATTTGCAAACCACAACGACTGCCTGCTTCATCATCCTGGCCTGGCGGAGGACAGCTGTTGCGTCGCTGTGTGTCACGTCTTTAAGGGTCTGCCCGTTTATGGAGAGCACCTCGTCTCCTTTCTGAATGGTTCCTTCTTGTGCTGCCAGCCCATTGGGAAACACTCTGTGCACCTAGTGTAACACAAGGACGAAGAGGCATTGATATTCATTTTAAATAATGTCCTCGTTTCTATTTACTCAAATTCATTTAATAACAGAAACCAAGCTGCAACCATAAATGACCCTAATCACAGTAATTGCTAACTGTAATTACTAATTGCAGTAAGTGTAATTAACAATGTTTTCTTTGACATTTCACAGGAAACAGTGTTTCAAATTGCAGTAATATTCCAAAACCCTGAGAGGAAGTAGAAACCGGAGCAGAAGTTACTCACTGTGGTCATTTTGTTTTCAAGGTCTATTCCTCCTGCAATGCTGAACCCCAGGCCAGCTCCTTCTTCTTTATGTAATATTACAACATGGATATCTTCAAATTGCTAAAAAAAGCAAAATTGTTCAAGATTTGCATTTCACTTTTAGAACTATGAAGTCCGTGGTTCATTTATACATCATTAGAAGAGTCTCATTACAGGCATGTTGTCAGAAAAGACTCAAACTATTCAGGTTTAAGACTAAATTGAGTTTTAAATGCATCATCTTACATAATAGGATAAAAAAATATTACATATTTCATACTTCAAAACTTTACTCCCTTGACGGATTCCATCATAACTTCAAAAAAGCTTAAAGTATACTGTAGTTTTGGATGAAAGCATCAGGAAAGTGAATAAATCACTGAAAACACATACTACTGTGTTACAGAAATGTTCTGGTGTCATTGAATGAATGCACTACCGATATTATCTAAATAATCTTCAGCTGTATAATTGGATGAATCTTGCACCAGGTTTACACAGCAAGTTTGTTGCACCAGTGTTTTTATCTTTCTGTCATTGTTACAACACAATTTGGTTTAGATCTTCTTTACATAAAGAGTTGTGGGAGAATGAAACAAGCCACGTTGTTGAGGCTGATACCTGGGCTTCTCCCAAGAAAAGGATGCATAAGATTCTTGGATCATTTAGCTCACTAACTTCCGAATGGGCTAGATGAATAGTTTTCTCTTATTTGTAACTTTTTTTTATCTTCTTAATATGCAGCAGCTGTTACTTTTACCAATTCCAGATGCCTCTTTATCTGTGTTAAATAACAAAGATTTAAATGGCATTCCAGTACTCAGCTTTTCTTGTGTCTCTACAATCTCATGTCGGATTCTACTGCTGTTAAAGGACATCCTTCTTTTTTATTTTGGAAACATGGACATAAAGAAGAGAAGGTATTTGTCAATTCTGCATGAAAGGTGGGTGGATTTTTATTAGATCAGGAAAGGTTGGGGCATTCTCTTGGCAAGGGCAGAGAAAGGTAGAGAAGCTGGCCACAGGTGAGTGTCACAAATCTACAAATAATTTCTAGTGGAAGAGGATCTATAATAAAACTTAACATAATATAATGTAAAAGCATAAGATTTTATATTGAAATACCTGAGAGCTTTTCACACAACCTTATTTTATGGTTTACCTGCTCACTCACATATCTATGTTATTGCAGCTATGACAACTATGTAGTTAATAATCCTAAATACTTAAGTTAATGATTGTAAATACTTCAACCAGTGAAACAGACATAAATAAAGTCAGATTCAGGGTTAGGGACAAACAGACAGCATGAGCATTGGTGCTCCATCATGCTTACTTTCAAGGTTTCTTCATCCAGAGCTTTCACTTCCTCAATCATCTTTTCTATCTCCTCAGGTGGGATGATGGAGATGACTGACTGGGCAGAGGCAGAGGAGGTCATAGATGAGGACAGCTCTCTCTTCCCTTCCTCCTTCTTCTCCTCCACTATTCCAATTGTGCATTCTCTCAGCTCAGCCAGGCTGACAAGCAGAAGAACCTTTATTCAAACTTAGTCTGAGCCATGGAAATACTTCACTCTCATTTTTCACAAAAAGGCCATGCTTGCATTTAAAAAAAAATCACTTCCTGATTCATTTGTGAATGTCTTGGCATCTTGACTTTCTCTTTAAAAATCTCTTACCTAAATAGTAAGTAGGTTTTGTTGCACATCTTTTAAAAACATTTATTACTGTATCTGTTTTGCTGTATATACAGCATCCACCTTTAATGTAACTGGAAATGTTTTAGTCTTTCAGTAACAGCAACTGTTTTCGGTCTGTTTCCTCTTTCAAAACAGGAACTACTGTAGATTCATCTTACTGCTTATCGTGTGAAATCTAAAGGGGTTAAGTTTCAGTGCATTTCACAAAGATCTTTCCTCCATTTTCTGTACAGTGATTGTCAGGTATGCTTCTGTTTTTATTTTTACCATTTGGTTTGCATTAATTCCTGTTAATCATCACTTAGTTTACAACAACTCCAATCACAAACCTCAAATCCAGTACCTGATAGAAAAGTTTTGTTCAATAGTGACTTTTTACTGTTGTCAAATGGAAAACCCACCATTTGCAGTTTCTAATTGGCAGGTGGGATGGGTATTATTTTATTCTGTTCTAATCAGTGGCATAGGTTTTTTTTTTTTAAAAGGAGTCCACCCACCTGACAGAAAATCCCTTTTCATGATGGCTGTTGTCACCAGTGGTAGACGGGGGGTCCTTGTCTGCCCCCCCATCCTCTTCTGGCCCGGGGTTCCATGGATTGCTGGGCCAGGTGCAGGGGGATTGAGGAAGGGAGCGCATTGACCTCATCAATGCGTTTGACACCTGGTTGCTGAAGGACAGAATTTTACCCAGGCTCTCTCCATCAAACACCTTCAGGACAGAGGGCTCAGGAGGCTGGGATGCAGAGACTGGGAGGCTCCTGGTTCTCAGGCTGGGTGCCTTCTGCAATTCATTTTCATCTTCCATCTGAGGTGTTTTCTCTGATGTGATTCCCTTTGTACTACTGCATCTTCTGGGGCTTGGAAAGGAATAGGATTCTGAAAGAGAAGATGATACCTCTGGCTCTGCCAGGACCACAGGGGCATCTTCAACTGGTTTGCTGTCTATTGAGATGATTGCGGGTTTATTTATCGTGCATGATTCAGTGATAACAGCTGAAAATGTGATCCCTTCACTGGGGAGCTGCTCAGTCGTGGGCTCAGGACTCTTGCTGTTATCAGGTGGTTTGGCTTCTGTAGCTTTGCTGCTCATGTGACTATCAGTTTTGATAGAACAAGCTGTGTCATTTCTGCTTGGGGTTTTTTCCATGACAGGCAATGATGAAGATGAGCCCAGCCTCCTTGCCCCCCTCTCTGGCGACTCGGGGCTGGACAAAGTTTCAAATGAATGCAATTTTTCTTTGAAAGATAGGTTTGTCTTAGCTGAGGTAGCTCTTAAACTCACTCCAAAGGTTTTGCCCACATCAGAGCTCTTGTGATCTACAGGTTTGATGGGTTCAGACAATCTCCCACTCTTCATGCCTCTCAGGCTCTGCCGAGCCCACACTGGCTTTGGGGCCACTGGAGGCCCTTTCTTCAAATTTGGAGATTCTTCTAACTTGGTCGTGTTTAAGGCTGGAGCTGTGCTGCCAGCTTCCGATGCATCTTTCTCTTGTGAAATGGAAGAGCCATTCAGATCGGCCTGTCCATTCTCTTGACTCATGATGACAGAACTTAGTTGGCCCTCAATACTATCTGAAATCCTTACCCAGGGATCCTGTGTTTGATCGAGAAAGAGATCCACATGGGCCTGTCTTCTCAGTGTCGGCCTTTTACCTTGTGCACAGTCCTCTGGGTTAAAAAAGCAAGATGATCAATTAATTTCCCATACTTTTTTATTCATAGGTGACAATTTATTGATTTTCAAGGTTTTTTTAAAGTACAAAAGAAATTTGTTCTTTATGTTGTCTGTGAAAATTAAGTCAAACTCATCTGAATATGAATACAATAGATGCACAGTTCTGAAAACAATGCAAAGATAAGAAGTAAATTAAAAGTGACACGTAGCTGCAAGCTTTCTAAACTGTTTCAGACATAAAGACAATAAAAGCATTTTTTAAAAAACATCTGGAATATGAGCAATTATTTTTTAAATATGTTTTTAATCAGAAATACACACATACCATCCTCATACTCTTGATTGTCTGAAATGGCAGCAAAGATGATTAATCAATTAAAATGCAATGTGAGTTGTACGTTGTTGCTGTACTTCAGTACACGTTTCTTTATCGTTTAATTTGTAAAAAAAATGTTAGTACCTTGATATTTTCCTGCTTGTCTCGAACAGTATTCTGTCGTGCTGGAGACAGGTCTACAGTCACCGGGAGCCGCAGCCGTTGCAGTGACAGTGTCGGTCTGAACAACTGTAGTTCCTTTAGCCAGCTCGCTCCCTGCTTCCTGTGACACAAACAGGAAATAAGTTATTTTGCAGCTCTTTTACAGAGACCTTGAAAGGTATAGTAATGCATTCGTTTTCAATCTGGCATGCAATACTGATGCAGAACAAAAATCATATTGGTTTCCTTATGATTTAAATTCTTGCAGGCATAAGTAAATGTCATGCCAAGCATGCAATGACTTAAGACAGTATGAAGAACATACACATTTTCAATACACGAATTACCATTGACCAATTCTGTGACTTGCATAATAACAAGCAGACTGAAAGGTTGAAAGATCTCAGTATTTCCGGGGGTATCACTGAGACTGCATTTCAATGGAGGAAATTTTTAAATCAATCATGCTATTGCTACTTCATTTGTATGAAACATTAGAATGTCGATATATTGTTTTAAAGTCATAGTTTGGCACTTTGAATTGTGAAAAAAAGTATTTGGTTAAAATATGGTTAATAAGAGTAAAATTAAAGATATTAATATACAGGAGGTCTGAACTTTTATAATAAAATTTTCAGTTACGAATTATGTTCCAGTCCAGTGTTGCCCCCAAGGCCCAGGTGCACACATTAACCCAAGAGTAAGAAGCCAACGTACATTTTTAAACAGTAAATCAGGAATCTTTTTCAAAGCCATGTATAAACTGCAAAACAACTAAAAGCACATACAGAAATATTACACATGATTTAAAGCTTTTGAGACAAACTTTACTATTTATTGTGCCTTTTTAATGGTACTTTTAGTTAGGTTTTGTAAGAACAGCACATTCTTTTGAAAGGAGTTTGTATTGCGTGGCTGTTGTCAAACTCATGGTTTTACTTCTGCTCTAACCACAGCAGAAACCACCCACAGACATGCTGTGACAGGATCTGACTGTGGTTTCCAGGGGTGCTGAGGAAATAACTTTTTCAGCACCCATGCAAAGAAGTGCAAATAAGCCAAATTCATTACTATAAAGAGAAAGAAAAGCACTCTACTGGCACTTTCAGCAGGTCTCTAAGAAAACGTCCATTATCAGTGGTAAGCAGGCATATTTGAGATGGTGATGTGACCTGTCAAAATATAATCTCATGTCTACTTTAGTTTTGCCTGATATGATACAGAAAATATAGGTAAGTTATTAACTTACAAACTTAGAAACATATGCAAATTCTAGTTAAATACTTTTGAAAAGGGTGTCATTTCTACCCAGAAAAGGTAAGCAGATGGTCATGTGTGCCCGTAAATGTGGCGAGTCCTACCTGACAGTTGATATAAGAAGGGTGCCAGCCATCATCTTTGACAGGCGAATCTTTGCTGTCTCCTGCAGGGCCATAGAAATGCTCTTCATGTGAAATATCTGATTGTTTAAAGTACCTTCTGGGTGGGGGAGGTGGTTTGGGTTTGGAGACTTTCGTGTGTTTGGTGCTGAGGTCTGCAGCTTGTTGGCTACAGCCTTTAGCGTCACACCTGTTAGGAGCATTGTCTTTATCGTTGTGATGTGGAGGTGACATTCTCTCTGGCCAGGCCACAGAACCAGGAGCAGCATCATGGGATGTTCCAGTGGGAATGTCCAAACTGTGTACATCAGAGGTTGCCATGCTAACATCCAGACTGTGCACCCGAGAGGTCGGCATGGGAACGTCCACACTGTGCCCCCTAGAGGTTGGCATGGGAACGTCCACACTGTGCCCCCTAGAGGTTGGCATGGGAACGTCCACACTGTGCACCCGAGACTTCAGGTCGGCGTGTTGATGTGTGTGGGAGGAGCTGCCACTGCTGCAGAAGGAGCAGTGGTTGTAACTGCTGTCGCTGCAGGATCGAGTCATCACCTTCTGGACTCGCCTGTTATTTAAATGACTGAAGCTTCTCTCAAGGCATTTGTCACATTTCTGCTTTCCGTGATAGCAGGGATCCATTTTCTTTAATCCTAGGAAAGCATGAAACATGTGAAAAAGAAAATATAGGTCTGATATGTAAAATCTCTATATTTTAAATTTTATATTAGATTTTGTCTAATGTGACAGGCTAAAACTGGTGAATCTTAGTACTCTTGAACAGTGAAGACCAGATTGAAGTCGTCAAAATCCTCAAAAGCTTTGATAAAGTCAGCTCACTGGACTTCTTTGGAACAGTGAAACTCTACCTTCCATGCTCCACTGACTTCGGTCTTTTTTCAACTTGCTGTTCTCCACAGCCTGTGCAATGGCATCCTTGAGCTGCTGCTCAGAAACCTAGAGAGTGCAGAGGGATCATCTGGTCATTTTATCACGATTTTTACCAAGTTATCAAATGTGTTATGGTGGGAATTGAGCTGTAGTGCAGTTTATAATGTAATAGTCTTAGCTTCCTGTCGCAGTTACTTAGAAGCAGAAAGGAAAGTGTGCTGACATCAGATTTGTCCTGCGCACCTTAGGGTCAGGGTGTCGGCTGATGATGACCTGGACTGGTCCAGGACTGCACTGACTCAACACAGTGTACACTTCGTTCAGGGTCATGTTGTACACCACCGTCTCATTGATCTCTATGATTTCATCACCACATCTGTCAAAAGAGCACAGGTTCAGAGATGCAGACAGTTAAGAGACAGGAGGTGCCCAAGAAAAGGCAGTCGTGAACACCCTTACCTCAGTCGGCTGTCCATGTGCGCCACCGAGCCAGGAGACAGCGTGTGGATGTAAATGCCTGGACAGCCTTCACTGGAGGGCACACAGCACAGTCCGATCCCCAGGCCCACTCCCACCTCTACAGGCAGCACAAAGAGCAGCAGAGACAGGGCAGGACATCCACCTTTGAGCTGCGTTCAGTTCTACGTTAACTCTTTTCTGTCTTCCTCAACAAGCTTATTGAAGCCTCATACTAATATTCATAAGCCATGAATTATAAATTTGAACATTGTGTTCACTGAAAGTTAACAGTTAATTTACATATAGCCAAACATAATTGTTACAAATCCAATGAAACTCATGGTTGTAAGAATCATTTTTTTCCGGTGTTCATCCACACCTATCAGTGTTATAACAGCGTTCTTTTATAATTCCCTGCATTTGACATTTGTAACATTAATCCTGAAGGATCTGAAAGCACTTCCCATAAAGAAGTGGTCTCTTCATCCACCACAGAAGCGCAGCCCTGCTTGGGTGACAGGGCAGCCATTCAGCACCAGCAGCCCCACTGCACAGCAGAGAGAAACTGCCTCACCAGCTGAATCAAGGGGGAGGTTTAAGGAAGCCAAACTGTGGAAGCCCAGAGTGGAATGTTAGCCAGGACAGGGTTTAACACCTCTACCGTTACAAACAGTGGCATGGGTTTTGTAATGGTATTAAGAAGTCAGGACCTTCACTTAATGTCTTATCCGAAGGCCAGCACAGTGTCCCCAGTCACCATCCGCAAGTTTCTTGATTTCACTGTGCCTTTCTACAGTTTTCTGAGCTTTTGCCATTGTATATACAGCATTTAATTTCAATAAGGGTGACTGAGAGCACAACTAGATACCAAATTTGCGTGCTGTAAATATACTAGTTAATGGCTCTCTTGGTTTGAGTTGGCATTAAGATTCTGTTCAGGCTGTTTCACATCCAGGCTTAGGTTTGAAGAATAAGGTCCAAGTCCAAGCAACAGTATTTTGTCTCACCTTTGTGCAAAGTGATCTCCATCATGATTCTGTCCTTGGGTTTGACCGGGTGGGCAAGGAAGCTGTAGTCTGTGATGTCTGTGCTTCCTCTGCTGATACAGGCACTGGAGCTGAGGGACCGTGAGCGACACAGGTGGGGCACTACCCCAGAGCTGGGCACTGCCCCCACTCGCAGGCTGGTCCGCACCACCAATGTAAGCAGGCCCTTCCTGATTTGCTTTAGATGGGGACAAATAAGACTCATGATAGTCAACACAACCTGAGATGGAACTATAAAAAATACACTAACATAAGAGTTTGGGGCTTTAGATTATTTCACAGGAACTCACTTTAAATTTCAGTAGTGCATCTTCATGAGTCAAACCATGTAGGGACTCTCCATTTAGCTCCAATATTTCATCGCCTGTGAGACACCATACACTAGGGGTTATAAATGCTTGTCAGAAACTACAGCACTGCTGTGGGAACAATAGTATCAAACTGGAATGTCTACCTTCTCGTAGTCTCCCATCAGCTGCTGCTGCTCCACCAGGAAAAATAGTCTTGACATAGATTCCCATAGGCCCATACATGCTGTCCTTTCCGCCAACAATACTGAAACCTAAACCCTGAGATGTTAGAGAGAGTAGTTAGTCCATAGTGACACCCGATGTAAAACAGTAATACTGGCTGTACTTAAAGGAATGTGTAACCTCAAAGCGGTTAATAATTAGGCTTGGCTAGGGTAAAGCAAAGCTTTCATTTTAATTTCAGAATTGAAATTATTCTTTGCCCTTTAAATTCTATGTAGAATTGTTCTTTCACAGCATATCGATTAACAGTAAAAGTAAAGAACTAGCTTTTCTGTTTTGGGATGTACACCAAGAAATATGTGATCATATCTAGTTTTTGTACACTACAATTATGCTACATAAAGGATGAATTACTAAGAAATTAAGTAGTGTAGCATGCTAAAGTATTACAGTTTTCACTTCACATCATTTAAAATAACCGCTTATCCAGTTCAGAATCATGTAGGGTACAAGGCGAGATTCACCCGGGATGGGATGCCAATCTGTCACAGGGCACACACAGACACATTCACACCAGGGCCAGTTTTTACAGAAGCCAATTAACCTATCAGGATATCTTTGGACTGTGGGAGGAAACCTGGGGATACAGAGGAAACTTATGTGAACATGAGGAGAATGCACTAACTCCACACAGATAATACCCCAGGAATTGACCTCAGGGCTCCAGCATAGCAAGACAGCAATGCTAAACACTGTACCACTGCACTTCCCCAGTTACAAACTTGTACAATGTTAAGTGTGTTGATTGAGAAACTCTTGTTTTTACAGACAAAAGATACCTTGCCCTGCCCCTTCATCAGCACAATATTGCAGATAACAAAGGCTTGTGTGGAGCTGGTTGAGTTCACCAAGTGTGCCGAACTTAGTGAGCGAGATGGCCTGGGAACAACCTGCAGGGTAAATCATTTTAAAAAGAATAAATCTTTTCCATAGAAACACATTATAGTATACATCAGAAACATGTTTTTCTCACATTTCAGCTGACTGACCTGAAATTAAGCTGTACAGAACTGTCTGACCTGCTGTACCCATGTACACAATTAAGGTATTCATTTGTGCTCTTACGTTTGGGACGTCTTAATATTTGGGTGTCACCATAGAAGAAGATAATACTTCTTTTAATTCTCAATAATACATTTCTTGGTTATTTTGTATTTCTTCAGAACTGTGTTTCCAGTGATAAAATATTAATTGTCATATAAGGTCATTTCACAAGGCACACAGCTTTATGACAACCTATGAAGACAAAAGGTTATAGATGATATCAACATCTGTACTTATGCAAAAAGTACACCTCGCAAATATTTACGTATAAAAAGTACAAGGAATAAGTCTGTTAGTAATCAAACCGTAACTTTCAGCAGCACTGTAAACCTGCAAAGGCAAAGGAATGTTGAAGACGATGAGGAACACCTGTTTCTCCCATTTTAGTCACATTATTAAATCTAGATTATTAACTTGGACATTTTGGACAGAAATAAAAGGTGCCACGCCTTAGGCTCGACGGTCAAAATGTTGTGTTTCTTTTCCTCTCTTTTCAGCATGGAATAAACCTTTACTTGTTACTTTGCAGCCTACGCACACTGATGCAGCTCCATACTCAAACCTATTCTAAGCGTCTACATTTTGGTTGGTTCCTAAAGGATATATAGGTTCTTACCTGTGCTATTCCATTCGTAAACTCCAGCTGTTGGGAGAGAGACTTCCTGTTTCCATAGAAACCTGGATTTCCATCAGTTTGGTTATTATTGGTTTGGTACACCTCAGGAGTTTTAATAATGAGAGCATCCAAATCCCCAATCCAGTATGGATTGACACCTAGAATTATCGAGTATCAAGTCAATGACGAGCCATTGTTCCACGACATTCACTTGCACGTTTCTTTAGCTTTAATTTGCATCAGTGAAGGAAAAGACAGTTTGTGATCTCCTGTTTGGGACCACAGAGCAGCAATTAAAGCAGCCCACCCTCTCACCAAACAAAATCTGCCCAGTTTTCCTTTCCTCTGTTAACTTACTTGTGGAATTGCTCCGAGTCCTTATACAGGACATCTTGCTTTGAGAAACTTGGTCTGTCTTGTCTCCCTCCCAGGTGCCTGTTCCATCTCCCATCATCTCTAGGATGGGCTCCTGTCAAGCAGAATGCATAGAACCAGGCCACAGCAGTCGGTTTGTCATTTCTGGGAGGACTATAACTAAAACAAAGTGTGAATTTCATAGAATGCAAGCATGGCCTGCCTGAATCCTAACAAAGGTCTATTATTATCTGCCCTCCTTCTTTAATAATAATTATTATAATAATTGCTTACACTTATATAGCGCTTTTCTGGACATTCCACTTAAAGTGCTTTACAGGTAATGGGGACTCCCCTCCACCACCAATGTGCAGCATCCACCTGGATGAAGCAATGGGAGCCATATTGCACCAGAACGCTCACCACACATCAGCTATTAGTGGGAAGGAGAACAGAGTAATGAAGCCAATTCATAGATGAGGATTATTAGGAGGCCATATTTGGTAAGGTCCAATGGGAAATTTGGCCAGGACACCGGGGTAACACCCCTACTCTTTTCGAGAAACACCCTGGGGTTTTTAATGACCACAGAGAGTCAGGACCTCAGTTTTACATCTCATCCGAAGGACAGCGCCTTTTTACAATATAGTGTCCCCGTCACTATACTGTTGCATTAGGACCCACAGTGACTGCAGGGTGAGTGTCCCCTACTGGTCCCACTTACACCTCTTCCAGCAGCAACCTTGTTAATTCATGCTGTGAATGTCTGTCCCCCAAGTTCTGGTATTTGTATATTGAGACAAAACCATTTTTCATGACTTTACCCAAGTCATATCTTGAAAATTACAGCTATTTACTATAAGTATAGAAATTGGATTATTTTTTATTTAGGTATTTTGTAATTTTCTGGAAAGTCCTGCTTCGTCCTTCCACAATAGATAATATAGATGATATTTAATAGATGATACATATTAGATGATATTTAAGACTCAATAAGGTCGCTGCCTCTTTCTTTTTCAATCACCTTATGTTATATTTTTGATTGTACTCTGATTTGATTCAAAACTTGCACGTTCATCTTGCTGCTACAAAACTAGTGTAGCTCTTGGCAAGTCTCCTTCCTGTTTCTCATCAGCACTGTGAAGGGAGCAGCAGTCACCTGGGAGCAGCCGTTTTTGCCTGTGTGTGTCTTGGTAAGGTGGTAACTCAGTGGTTGGAGGTTGTCTCTGTCAGCAGCAGGCAATGCCAGGGTGGGCGAGCAGTGAGTTTGTGCTGGGCTTTTCTTTGAACCTGTAAGGGAATCCTGCAAATACAAACAGCTAAGTGAATCCAGTTACATCTGGCAATCTTTCCAGTGAAACAACACAAAATTATGATTTGTTGGTTCTTAAACTTGATTAATTGATCAAAATATAAATTTAGATCCTAAAATATGAACTCATATATAGATGAATTGAAGTTTAAACAAAATAAGTTACACCTCTAAGGTATAGAAGAAAAACTGAAAATGTCTGTGTTTCTACTGAAAAACAATCTCAAATGTAGAGATATACTGTAGCAGTATGTTTTTTACAGATTAGTTTAAATAAAACCAAATGAATCAACATACAGTGCCCTCCAAAAGTATTGGGACAGCAAGGTCAACATTGTTATTTTTTACTTCACAATAAAGGGATTTGCTTTGTTATTCATGAATATTCTTGAAGGATCATGTTATTCTGATCATGATTTGAGATACTTTATGAAGGTCTTTGCTGTAGCCACCTAGACATATCTTGGCTATTCTTGGGTGTTCTGTTTTCTTTTTTCTACAGCTCAGCTGGGTTGAAATCTGGAGACTGACTTGGCCAGACTAAGATCTCCTGATGAAGCCCTCTGTTTCATTGGCAGTATGTTTTGTGTCATTTTCATGCTGCTAGGTGAAAAGCCATCCAATAAATATGGAAACATTTTCCTCTACATAAGCAGACAAAATATTTCAGTAAACATCAGTATTCATTCTTCTCCTGCCATCATTAGTTAAATCTTTAATAAAGATGAGTGAGTCAGTTCCAGGGGAGGTTACGCATGCCCAAGCCATGACACTATCTCTACCATGTTTAAAACATTTTCTTGTGTCGCAAAAACTTACAATCTGCTGGTACTCTTGCAGACTAAGGCACCTATCAAATTTAAAAGGAATTAGGACTCTTCTAAGCACACACACTGTCAAAATGTTCAGAGGCCCCAGCGCAACCACAAATCAGCATAAGCCAGGTATTGCGTAATCTCCATTTTTATTCCTTCAGCGACTGCAATAAAGTAATTATCCCGTAATCACTACTCATAAAAGGAACCAAACATAAAAATCACACAAAAGTCCTAAGAAACCAGAAGAAAATCCCAAGGAGTGTTATTTGCAGTGTTGCACAGTCCTCTCTGTTCCTTGCAATGTTCCAAAAAAAGTCATCCTCTAATCGAAAGCACAAAAACCCCTGTGCCACGATTCTCTCCCATGCTGACAACTCTATATTCTCCATGAGCACTCACTCATGTCAATCTCAGGCCTAGGCCACCACAGACCAGCACAATACGCTAGCACAAGTAGGTCCCATAATTGAGTTGTAATTCCATGTGCCTCTGCTGACTGGGTTCTTTATATCCTCTTTCTGAGCAGAACCTCAGAATAGAATGAGGGGCAGGAGTGGCGTGTTGATCATGAGGGGCAGGAATGTATCAAGAACGGAGGGTTACTTGAGGAACCGACAGCACGCAGATTGCCTGGTGTCCCAGTGCAATAACCCTCCTTCCTTTGTAATATGCCTTTCCTTTCCTTTCCATCCTTCTGTTCCAGGCCCAGCCTCAGCTTGTTCAGCACCTGAGCACATTGAACATATCTCCTCCAACTGTGTGGTAACTGACAGGTGTCTAGGCAAACAGCATGTCCTGCAATCTGTGACAACTGTAACCTGCTGTACTGTTTGCAAGAAATTAAAAGGAGAGGGAAGCAAACACAAAAGAGAAAAAATACACAGCAAAAGCATTAGCCCTTATGAGCGTAACTCACATAAACAAAGTCCCCAGGCCACTGCCCTGCTCCCTCATCTGTCACTACATAACATGAGTACAAAGATGAGCCAGAGTCTTTCAATGAAGACTTTTACCAACTTGGACACCATCGCATGTGAAGCATAGTGGAGCATAGTGGAGGGAATGTCACGGCTTGAGCAAGTTGTCTCATTTGTCTTTACTGAGGATGACCCCATGGTCATTAAAAATTATTGGGTTGAATATAAAGTATGTCTCTGTTCTGCTATGATCAAATGTGTGCATAGAAATACCTAAAAATGAAACTCATATAGTACTTACTTTAATCTATACTCACAAATGCAAATTCCTTGAGCTACTTAAAAAATAAAAAATGTAAATTTTACGTTAAATTTTGGACTTTGGTATCCTAATATTTTTGCAGGTACTGTATTTAGGAATTGTATATGTGTAATAACGTACATACTACCTCCCCAGCTTTTTCATAGATAAGAACACTATCACTTTCCACATTGTCACCATCTCCATAGTTTTAGTCTGGAAAAACCATTAAAGAGTCCAAAAGTGAAATAAACATGTGAGGAATTTAATGAAAAGTCGGTCGTAAATTCCAAGAGTTTTCTATTTTAAATTTAGCACCTTTAGTATTCATTCTCTTTTCACAAGCTTTTGTTTTTCAAAAAGTAAACAAAATGCATAGTGTCAGGGTCATTGTGGAATTAATGTAGATTCCTTCTGTTCAAAAGCATTAAGATTAAATATTTCTTCGGTATGTTCAAAACAACACTGCTAAAGTCATTTAATATACAGTTTAAAAAAATAGTAGGAGAAGACAAGTCCATCCAGATGAGTCACATGTCTGGACATTCTTTCCTACATGTCTATAGTTTCCTTCCTCTCTGAGCACCTTGCCTATCCATTCCTTGGCTGAGAAGGATTATGATGTCACTTAGGGAAGGGTTCCATGAGAATGGAATGCAGAATATGGATTCCAGCACCACAGATTTCAGTCTATACAGTATATTAGAGCTGACAATGTCCTGATATGGTTTGACACTTTTTTGGGGTTCAGAGGGGTGGGGAGTGAGCCCATGATAAATTCACATTTAAAACATGCCTTGATGTTGATGGCCAAATACACATTTTTAATAAAAACTTTAACTGTCTCCTATTTCATTGCCACAGCCTGACTGATTTCCCAGATCTTCCAAAAACAGACAGGAGTGCAACACGGTTTTGCCAAATAGCTTACTGGTGGAAATGTAGAATATTGGTCTACCATTTTAAGATTAATGAGTTTCTTTTTCTGCTTTTAACAAAAAAGCCTAAAACTGATCTCCGTTGGAAGAAATCTGCCTACCATTTAGATGTACACCTCTCACTCTATTTTATCACATGGTTCTATTATATCCCTATAAGTATACCTTTATAAAAACATTTTTGACATGCTGACATGTATTTGAATATACATGGCCTGCCAACTACTGTATTCAATAAAAAAATCCAGAAGAGTTAAATTATTAATATACCACTTATTATACTAACAAAATATGATTTTAAAGGCACGTGGATCGTAAAAACTCTTTACCAATTTGAAGTAGCAGGATTTTAAAACTTCTTTTTTATTTACGTGAAATTTGTTTTGTGGCTCAGTTAAGTTTTGTTCAATATGGAGAGTGCTTGCAGGGTGGCAGAGTTCTAATAATACAAATAAAAATCTTACATTATTGGAAACAATCAAGTCCACCGGCCCTCCTGTAGACAGGACTATGGTCTCAGTATCCATTTCTGATAGATTTTTCATTGACTGTCCATTAACTAAGCGAAGTTCATCTCCTGGCTGAAGACAGCCATCCCTAGAAAAAACATATATATATATGTACAGTATATATGACATATACACACCACTAAGCTTTAGGGGAAAAATACCAGTTATTCATTGTGCATGTACAGTATGCGTTTTGAAAAATAAATTATGGGGATTTTGGATACTGATTGATTTTTTTGTCTTATTTTAATTAATTGCATGACTGACACTGATGCACTCTGATGACCTTGATTGATGAAGATGTACTAAATTACCCCAGAATTTAGTCTTGATGGTCAACCCAGGTGATGAAGTAATTTAACCTTTTGAATGTAAAGCCTGGTGAAAATAAAGAAAGAAACATACAGATAGAAACTAATATGTCCCACTTATCAAAAGAACAGCTCTTGATATAAGTGCCGTATGTTGAAGGCTGGGCAAAGTAACCTTAGCTTGTCTGCCAGCTACTAGTCCGCTCTAGTGATAAATTTTGTGTAGATCAGCCTGATGGATGTCAGTGAGTGTAATGCTGATATGAGTAAAATTTGGAGGTCCAAGTGTGGTTGTGTGTGCAGGAGTGTCTAGAGCTTGACTTGTAGTGACTTGATAGCAGCATGACTGCATGGCTCTTCATTGGTCAAGTCCTGGGCACTCATTTGCTGCACTTCCTGAGAGTTCATTGAAACAGCATTCCTGCAGGATAAATCATGACCTCATACTGGTCATGTAACAGGAACTATCTTATGAGATCAGAATGTGACAGTTATGTTGTGTCTTATGTCTTATGACTTGCACTTGTTCTTATTTGCCAGACTTGTACTCCATTGAACATGTGTAACAGGAGTGGGGCGATGTGCAACATCTAGAGCTCAGACCCAATGAAGAGGCACATGTTTATCCATGCTGACAAAGAGAATGGGTTACAATACTGCATCTGCAACCTGATGTACAGCTTTTACTGCTTTCAGTGATGGCTAAACTCTCTAGCAGCCTGTGACTGTCACAGTAGACCCACTGTTGATCAGCTCTGTTGGTGATAAATGTTAAACAGCTGAATGATTAGCTTATGTTCTTTAAAATATCAGTGCACTTGGTATTAAATGGATTTTGTCATTTTCCTGGTAGTATGTATGAAAAAGTGCTGTTGTTTTAATGATGCTTGATATATCTATCCATCCATTTTCTAACCACTTATCCAATTCAGGATCATGAAGCAGCCACAGCCTAGCACAGCAAGCAAAAAGTCCAAGTCAATATATATCCTGGATGGGACATCAGTCTATTGGAGGACACACACAGATATTGACATGCACATACAAACAACAGGGCCAATTCTCCCAGAAGCCTAGCCTATCACAATGTTTCTGAACTGTGGGAGGAAACTGGAGCACATAGAGGAAACACAGGAAGAACACAAATTCCATGCTGTTAGCAACCTAAGTTCAGAATTGAACCCAGGGCTCCACTGTTGCAAGACAGCAATGTTAACCACTGTGCCACCAAGCCACCTTATGCTTTATACAGTACATGTCAATTTCAAAAGTGATTTATTAATATCATTGAAAATCCAAGCAGTAGCTACTTTATGTTTCTAGAAGTGGTTAATTTGAGTACATTTAGAGCACAGTACTACAGTAACATGCTGTTTCAGGCTCTACCTGTTCATGCAGTTGTTTGGAGGGGCTTCAGCATCATCATCATCACACATTCGATTTCTAAGGCCTTCTTCACCAGTGGCCACACACAGCCTCCAGATGCTGCTTTCCTGTTTTATAATAAAGATGGCAGAGATGTGAATACAAGCAGCTTTTCTTCAGAGGCGAAACAAGACATTCATGTACAGTAAGAACAGAAATAAAACTTGTATATTGTATATTGGGGGAACATGCGCCATTAATAAGAAAATATAGTACAGTGGCCTGGGGGAAAAAATATATTCTGTTTGAAATGAGCAAATCAAAAGTAGATTTGTATTGCTATGCTCTTGTGAAAGATTGTAACAAAGATTAGAAAGTACAGTAGGTTTTCAGCAGGATTACTGACAACTAAAAATTGAGCAGTAGATCTTGTTAGTGCTTTTGTTTTACTAGTGTTACTGTGCATTTATTGAAATGTTTGGGGTTTTTTTTGCTGTCATTGGTAAAAACGGCCCATTTTAGGGGGGTACACATTGTGAACTTCATATCTGACTACACAGTGTTGTTGTTTAGGAGAGCCATGCGACCATGACATCACTGGAATTTCTTATGAGACCTGCGTAAAGATTTTACGGACAAGTTAATTTTCCCTTGAGGCTGCAACAAAGTAGCTTTTGTGTGAATCAAGCTGGCAAAGCGATTTGCTGGAGCAGACTATAATGCAAATGTTTTTTTATTATTATTTGGTTATAATGGAGAGCACATTGCCAAGCTCAAAATGAAGAAAAATTTAAATGTCTTAATTTATTTGGACTTATTATTGCAATTTATCAGCATTTCAGATTAATAGACTTTAATTCTGGTTCTGTCATAGTTTCGGAAAGGTGTGAGGAAAAAGTCATTCCTTTGTCTTCAGACATATGATTTATAGATGAAATATTAGATGCCACTTACATCATGAAAATGTTAACATTTATGTCTTGTCACACAGTGGCAGAACCCTGATGAACCACTAGATTTTACACACTACTTACAAAGCTGGCATACCGCATCACAATTTCTCTTTAAATGTATACTTATATTAATGAATATTGAATTTTTAATGCTCTAGGATTGTCAACAAATTCATTGAAGCACAATATTTTAAATATGTTTTCTTCTATAAAAGATCATTAAGATCTTAGTTATTCCTTGAATGGTTCAGCTGTAAAATCAAAGGTGTGTAATTGCTCCCCTGTTGTCCATAAAAATGTTTTATGTTTATATTTAAAAAAGCAATGTTTTTCCATTAAGTCGCGTTAGGTGAATATCAGTATTCAGTATATCAGAATATCAGAGCGCCTAAGATACTTTTAAGTAATCAGGAAACAAGAAGCTGGATGAATATATTTTTCAGAATATCTCCATGAAGTATATTGAATTGCATATGAGATGCCGTAAATTAATCAAACGTTATTTATGAACTGGCCGTAAGCTGTAGTATAAAACACATTTTACAACTGTTATTTTAGGAGTTTCCAATTCACATTCATTTCATTTCATTTTTTCATGAATTGAAATACAAAGGTGCGTCGACGGGGGTAAAAATAACTACACTTTGTATCTTTTTTTTCTCTAAAGCTGTAATTCTCCTTGACTAAACACTGACAAACCTCTTACAGGCTGCCTTGCAGTGTAGATCATCTGGCAGTTTGTTTTAATTGTATTCACTTTCGGTGGATGCTGAATTGTCCCAGCAAAGAAACAGCCTCTGTATAACCGTGCAGACTGTACCGTATCACAGTGTAAACACCAGCTTCGCTAGCCTCTGAAGTCTTAAGTCAGAGGGATGCACAGAGAAGCAGAGTCGTGGCAGTCCAGAAATACCTTGATGGAAAAGGTCCTCCTGATGCCTCTTCTGTCATCCCCTGGGGCCCTCAGCTGGTGACAAGCTGGGGGCTCTGGTGCAGTTGTCTGTTCCACAGAGTCCGCGGCGGAGAGGGCCCCTGGCCTAAGGTTCCTCTTGGATTTCTCTCTGCCACTCTCCTCCATTTCTGTGGAATCAGGGTATTTTTCCTCAGGACTGGAGCCATCGTCGCTGGTTTTGGAATTGCACAATATGAACGACCTGGAAATGACCCCCAGCCTTTTCGACCGCTGGCTGGTTTTGCCCGTTGCAGTGCGCCTCTCCATCCTCCGGACTGGACCATCAGCCTTCTTCTTGTGTCTGGTGCAGCTGTGTGGCATAGCGGCTGATGCACTTCCTCTGGCTTTGTCCAGCTAATGGAAAGGGATGTTCTGCGAAGCAATTAGAAAATTCAGTTAGGAATCCTGTTTCATAAGTGTTCTGAGAGACTGCTGAGACAAGCTAGATAAAAGCTCTTTTCTTCCTCGCTTAAAAAGCACATGTTGCCTCATGACTTCCGTTCAATGCCTCCCTTGGACATTTGTGCTTATAGGATTCTTCACCTTCATTACCTCTGAGAGGCAGGACTGTTTCAGCTCAGAAGGCTAATGAAGACATTTTCTCTTGATTATTGAACTGCTGAAACATTATAGTACATGTCTGTACAGCATTACATTTGTTTTGGGTAGCACATTGTTGTCTCCTTTCACTTTATGAGAAGCATATTGGGCTATATTCTCAAAATGTATAACTCTATTACTGACTCTTCTTAAAAACAATTTAATTTGCGTGAAATGTAATGTGCAGTATGTCACATAGCATGCAGTTGTGTTTATGGATGCTGTGAATTAATATTTCATTCTTCATTAACTTTACGGCTTAGGTTAAAAATTATAGCCTCCAGAAAAAAAACACTGATGCTGAAGTTGAATGAAATGCTTTGTGAATACAGGGTATTTTTTCAGCCTTAAATAAAGAATAGTGTCTTAGATTGTGGATTGTTGAGATAAATAACCATCCAAAATCAATGCAGTACAAACAGTGATATTATGCTGTTTGTCTCCCACTTGCTTAGTGCCATAGTTCATCTGAGATGCCTGCTGCTGAGTTTTCTGTGTGCTTTAGGAGTGGGGGCGGTGATAACAGGTGACCCCTGCTGGCTCTTGTGGTACATAGCTTCTGTATTCATATACAAGTGCTGACAAGCATTTCCCTTAAATGCATATTGTGTGTGTGACTGCCTCTAGGGCAAATCTTTTAATTTAAGCTTTTCTTTAAACACTGGAGAGAAAAATAACAGGCTGAAGGTCTAGAAATCATTGCAAATGGTCACCAATCCTGATGTGAGGTTATGCAACTTTTCAGATTGCTGAAAAGTTGCATAACCCATCATTACTGGCTACTCTCTGTTTGAGCCACTATATTTAAGAAACATCCATTAGTATTCACTTGAATAATTTACGATATTGCTAGTGCTAATGTGGAAAATATAGTCAGTGGCTGTCAGGCCCTATTTTGTTATATTGTAGGAAACTTCTACAAATTAAAACTGATAGATGGTGTCTTCTGTCCCTGCACTATAAAACTCTCTTTAACAGTAACTGTTACAAACATCGAAATATTAACTGAGCAGAAAAAAGTATTTCTTCTTAATGGAAATTTAGCTCAACATTCAATCATGTTATAAAGCAGTTTACAAGAAAGACTTCATATCACAGTTCAAATGTTATGTCTTTTCTAGAGAAATCTCAGAGAATGACATACCAATAGGACAGTACTTTTCAGATTTCGACAAAGTGTTGTCCCCAGTGCTCTGAGTCTATACTTATTTTAACCAAGAAGATTAACTCTAATCTGAATTTTATAGATTAGTTGGTTGATTTGAAATGATTTCCTTTTTTCAGAAAATTGCCAAGTCTTGATGCGGAGTATATCTCTATTCTTGATTACTAGAACAGAGTGAATTTCTATATCAACATGCTGTGGGAGTAGACCAATTACTATTGCTATATTTAAACACCTGCTTCAAAGAAAAGATGCCCTTCCGAGCTTATACAAATTTAACTGAATTTCTTTAAAAAATCATATTTGCAGATATTTATCTCCCACAACCAATATATGGTTGACCAAAGGAAGAAAGAATAGTAGAATTCAGCCCTTAAATTTTATTTTTAATGCATTTGCTCCTTTGAACCATTTTTGGGAAAATGCATCTTGAATAAATTCAACTGGAGGAATTAAGATATTCTGGTTTCCTTGCCTAGATAAAATATTTTGACCTGAAAATGATGTTTTTCAGAATGACAGAATGCAGATGTCCTGATCCTAGCCTGCCAATTAACATTTTATTAATATTTCAGTAAGTACAGTTGCTTTTGAGAAACACAATGGTTATAAGTGCAGAAAGCATCAAAACAAAAGGCTAGGCTGAGCAATTTGCTTATGTGAAACTGTGCCAGTCGTGTTTAAAGAATAGTATTTCATAATATGCTAATAGTTTTGATTCACCTCTGACCTGACCTCTTGTTTCTTCTGTGTGACTGAAGAAAACAGACTAAGAAACAGAGTTGAGCAAATCTAGTTTTCTTGCAACTGTGTATAGTGCTGCAAAAATATGTTTTGGCACTCTTATCTCTGTCAGATTCACCACAACATCTGAACTGCCACCCTCTAGAAACAATGCCATTTTGTACTTAATTTTTATGTTTACAAGTGTAGCTAATAGCCAACAATTATGAGTTTATTATTAGTATTTAGTACATATACTTACAGTATGTTTGCAACTTTACATGAATAGAACAGCAAGTTCAGGTCCATTTCATAAATAAAATGTTTTTTTACTTCTTTACAATCTGGAAATATATTGATTGCAAAATGTGCTTTTTCAATTCAGTGTTACTAAACCTTGTACAGTATATGTACACCAGACTGGCTGGGTTGGTCTGATTTGCTGATTTTTTTTCCAAAATCTTCTCTGGCTCCCTCAACCAACATACAGAGATACGCAAGTCTAAAGAAAGAGAAAACAGTATAATTCAACCTGCTTACCTTTAAATAAAATAATAGGTTCAGACTTTTTCTTTCTCAGCCCGAATGCTCTTTTCTGTGCTTAAAATGCACGACTCTGAGAGTTAACGGTGTTTGACAAACACAAAAGGAATATTATGTAAACTCCAACCCATGCCACACTTTGCAAGCAGCACTTTGCTTTCCCCCACACACTGTCATACCAATGGCCCTTTCTGTTTGGACTGGCAGGGAACCACGCTAGCTGACTTCAAGTGCTTCCACGCCAGTAAAACACTGTGCCGTGATGTAAATTATGAGTCCCGTGGGAGCTCGGTATCTGAGTACATTTACCAGCAGCATAATAGGAAAGTATAGCCAGCAGACAGACAGATATGTTGAAACCCATATTCTAGACTTTCTTTAGGTGAGATGCGGCTTTTTTCTTTCTTTCACAGCAAACGATTTATAGCATGTAGGGGTGTGGTTGTTATTTCAGCTTAAATGCATTCTAGCAGCAAGGGCTGATACCAGTGGTATTTTTTTTTTTACTATTTTTGTTACACAGCCCTACACAACCCGGCACTTTCAAATACGTGTCATAACCAAAATTCGATAAATGTCTAAGTACTTCCAAACTCATTGACAACTTTTTTTTAACTTGATGGTTCTTTTTTCCTGCAGAGAACTTCAGCTTTGCTTCATCTGGTTCAAATTCTTTAGCATTTTGCATCCTGTCACTTCTGCCAGCACGCTAGATCAAAAACAGCCCAACGCAGATGCATGGACTTAATCAGCTGGATATTGCTAGGTGACTGCTTTTCCTACAGGATAACAACATGCAATACTGAAAGCAAATGCTTGCAGTTCTTTGAAAGCATTTTCTTTTTCGTCTTCGCTTGTTTTGGTTTGCATGATTTGTGTCACGCTGTTTGTCTGTCATTCAGATAGAAACATATCAAAATGCAATACTGTATATAATGAAATAAATCAGAGTTTCTCAGACATGGCCAGATGAACTCACAACTAACTGAACCGAGTAAGCCTGCAGGAGGGAGATAGACAAGGACAGAAAACATTTGTGCAAGACTTTTGAGATGCTGTCATCTAACGGTGAAACAAGGAACATGTTTGCCATTATACACGTGGCAGTGCATTTGAGCGTGTTATGATGTTCAATAATGTATTCTGAATATGTCAGCTATTACTGATATTGTGTTGGCTTTTTCGCACCCTGATTTAATCTACCTATGCTGAGCCCTGTTGTGAAGAACTGGGACTGCACCTGGATGGGTTGGGGTAATGGGATAGCTTAAGATAAAGAAAAGAGTTGGGGGTATGGGATAGGTTCAGGTTAAAATAAAAGAATGGATTGGGGTAATGGGATAAGTTAAGGTAAAGGAAAAGGAATGGGTTAGGGTAATGGGATTGGTTAGACAGCAGAGGAAAAGTATGAATCCTTGCCTGGTATGCAAGTAAGAAATTTTGCGACTGGAATCTGAACCTTAGTGCAATTGGGAAATGGTAGGTACCCCATTTATACACTTCACCTAAAATTGCCAGGATATTTAAGAATAAGACAAAATTGACAGATATGAGAAATGCCATACTTTATAAGGTGAAAGCCTCTCCAGTATTACTTCTTGATTCTAACTATTCTTGATTACTTGCATTATCAGTTTTCAAGTTAATATCAGACAAATGTAAAAATGTCGTCTTTGACCTGTGATCCTCACTTCTGCTCCTGTAAAATCACAACCTTTCAAGCTTTATAGGGACATCAGACACCTCAATGGCTGAAGGCTTCAAACAATATGTAATTAAGATTAATTAAATCAGTCATCTACTCATGTTAACTGCTGAGGTTGAATTACAATCAGAAGTTTATATTCATATTGGGCAGAAGTGACGATCACTGATATATACAGTACCATATTTCCATATGCAGCAGTGTTGTGAGATGTAGTGTAATTACTAGGTCCTGCAGGAAGTGTTCCCTGCTTCCCTTTATCTCATGTTTCCACACAAGCTGCCTGGCACACCAAACCCTTATACTATACAGGCCCATCTCCTTTCAAGCAAAGGAAACTACACTGGTGTTATTTATAATTCTACTTATGCTTTTGCTTATAGTTATCCATCATTCTGTAAATGGAGTTTGCTTCACTGTTGACTTCTCAAAATAAAAAAGCATGCACATTAATTCCTGTAATTACTGCAGTGTGACTCCGACTTTCCTTTGAAATTTGCTACTCATATGTTGATGTAATGGCACAGAGCAGTAATATTGTGTCTTTTCAAACCTTAGCCAAGACTTGGAAGGAAAGAACACAGAAAACACATTTTTCGCCGTTAGCAGCACTGAGGAGCTGGCAATCAAGAGTCAAGTAAAACTTAGTTTATAAGGAGAACTGGATCTTAAAATTGGAAGCAAGAGCAGTGCTGCAAAAATTTAAAGACCCAGTGATTTATTTTCAGTTTCTATAAGGAGTTGATTTTTTTATTTTATGTATGTTTTAATGGATGGGGTGGTGGAGAGTGACAGCTGTGTAGGAGCTCTGTGGTTGCCCCTCTGATCTGGAGCCTATTCTTTAATCCAATATTCCTGCCACAGACAGAGGGCAAGATTGATTTAACTCTGTATCAAAAATGCAAAAGGATTACCAAACGAAACTGACGGAATGACTTAGACATTTGATTTTGTTGTTTTTTGAAACGTTGAAAAGAAAAAAATTCTCGGAGTCAAATTGTTTGACGGGAATGTACATTTTCTACTCTGCAGGTTCAGGACCTGGTTTGTAAACACTCCTCTGAAGTCAAAAAGCCACTCCAGTAATGCACATTTGCAGTAGAGACTCACATTTTGCAGTAATGTGAATATCTGGGTTAATCAGACAATTTGGAGCTACAGTATGTGATTTTATATTTCAATAGGCTAGGTATAATACTGTATGTCACTGCTCTCTAAATAATCATTACTTAAAAGTTATTTGTGCTTAAGAAGAAGAAGCAATTCTCTGTAATCTCAAAACATTTCCCTATTGTACATAATATACAGGGTTAGTCAAAATGTTGTCGACAAGTATAAATGCCAATTATTTTACTAAAGTTTTGTTTTCTCCTCCACAGATGTAAGGTAACTGTTAGAAACCTTGATTTGTATGCTTTCATTTGAAACCTTTTTTGTCACAGTAACCCATGTAATTAATTTGTAATAAACTGTCAAAGTTGTCTACATCATTTTGACTAACCCTGTATATAGTTCTGAAATACTCGAGTGTGTTAACATATCAAATACATGTTAATCATTTCTAGCACATCTTGATAGCCACAGACCTAAATACCATTATAAATAACACTCCCTGGATTTTAGTGGATGCGTGTTTGTTTAATTATGCATAAGATATAAAATAGTGCAAAAAAGGCATTTAAAAATCTCCGTACCAGTTTTTTAGGAAAAACCTTTAATAATTCAGTTCAGTTTATATGTTATACTGTATGCTTATTTGTGTGCTCCAATACGAAGACATTAAGGGAATCACCAAAAACATATCACAGAACAGCAGCAGCAGCAACAAGTTAAATAACATACAACTTAAAAATATATCAGTGTGAGCCAGAGGTAGGGGTAGAGTTCATTAATCTGACAGTTTGTGGGAAGAAACTGTCTCTGAATCTGAAGAACTCTGAAGGAATCTGAAATACTCTGAATAATACTGACAGTGGTAATGATTTTACTCATGACTGTAGTGTGAAGTGATCACCACTGGACTTCACTCACTCATGAAAGATACTGGCTGTCCTTGAGCATGAGCCCTGACTGAGAGCTGAGAGCTGGTTGAGAGCAACCAAACAACTGTGTCCAGAGATTTTGCATTCTCTTCTTTAATATATGCCACTAACATGAAGCAGCTTCACAGGTATTTCCGTTTTTATTTATTTTACTTTTTCGTTTTCAACAAAACCTAAAATAAATGTATACATAAAGCCTGTAATTTGTATGTGCAGCTTAACGTTTAAACCTGTGAGTTTAAAACACTTAAAACAATTTTAAAACATTTTGTTTCTTTAAATGTTCAAACCTCATTTCAGCAAGTTCACCTTTAAGATTGAAACTGTACTGTTACATGGTTCTTACATTTTTTTTAACTATTATTAAACAGCACCTTATGGATTTATTTTTAAATAGGTAATACATTTCATATATTATTACAAACACAAATGATCTTGCTTTATACTGTTAATCTGAATTGAAGGAATTTATTTTTGGAATTTCTATTTGCATTTATTTTTTCTCCTTCCCTTACCAAAATAAATACAATGTGTTTGAGGCAGTGACTGTTCTGGGTTTTAAATTATTGGCATAAAGCCTGATTTCATCCATACAGATGTTTGCATCTGAAATATACTGCAAAGCTGAGGCCCACAACTGGTCTCTTGAAGAACGTGCACAAAAAAGTAATAAATAAAAGCATGGTGCATTATGCCAGAGGTCTCTCTCTCCATCTGGGATTGTGCATTAATTGTATAATTTCCAGCAAGTTATTTTTTTAAGTAGGTCTCTACTAAGCACCTCTGTCTATATGGTTGATTCTGGTGTTTAAAGTGCCATTTACATTTCAGTTCACCATTAGAAACTGTTTCTAAATGACCCTAAAAAAAGGCAGTATCATTTTTATGTAATCTGCAATATATTAAAAAAAGATCTGTTACTTACCAAATCTGGTCATCTTTTTTCATAATTCTGATTCACCTTACGTCTTCAGGGAGAAAAGAGTTTTGATCTGTTTCAGTTCCGAATCATTCCCAAAAAGGAAATTCATATACACTAGTTCTGGGTTTAGGTGCTGAAATACTATGTGTTAGAGCTCAACAAACCAGCTTTGCTGCTCAGCACAGTTTTCTGAACTCTTTGCCAGAAACTTTCAATGATTTAGATTGGGTACTCCTGGCTACCGCCCTCCCTCTCATTTCAGCAGCTGGGAGCAGAAAAGATGATATTTTGTAGCATTAGCCACCAAATTTTAGCCCTTTCCTGTCGTACAAATTAGTAAAAAAAACACATAGCTTTTCTAGGACTCACTGTGACTCATGTCTGCCTAATGAGTTTCAGAGTTCCACAGCAGTTCCAACGTGTTTTGCTCATAATGCAATTGTCACTATTTGTAACATATCTGAAAAAAGAATGCGTGGAAGAAAGAATGAATTTGCCATGCTGGACCGTATTTGTAAGCACAAGAATATTTTTATGCATGCCCACTGCAAAGGAAATAAGTAGTATCATAGGTATGGATTTGTAGTTTTAGTTTTGGATGTTTTCTTCATTGTCATGCACTGCAAGGTTTAAAACTGAGAAGTTTTGTTTTCAACTCCATTGACACTGGAATCTTGCAAGTGAAAAACAAACTGTGTGTTACATTGATTTTACATGGAAAACTATTTCTGAGGCCATACATTAGCTCATGGAGTCTGATATGTCAGTGCTGATATAAAAAGAATTAGTTTCAAACAGGCTTTATAATAGACAGATCTCTGCAACTTCTATCACTGTGAATAACCCTTATCATTCTACTGACCTTAAACCTAAAAATATTTAGGTTTTAGATGTAAGGGTTAAAATGCAACATTGTTCAAAAATAATTTAAAATGACTTTCAGGGCTGAGCTTCAGCAAGGAGACAGAAACATAGAGTGAAGTTTGATGTCACGCTAGCATCACTAAAATGCCTAAAATCTGTTCCAGTTAATCCATGAACAGGCCTAGTGTTACAGTTGAGTCTGCCTCTGTTTATTTATCCTGCAGGAGTAGATGCAGGCCTCCTGACACACGGGTTGGGATTCAAGAGAATTCACAGGGGATTTTTCCCGTTAACAGAGAGCTCTGATTAACCCAGGCAAGCACACTTTGCATAAGGCTCCTTAGTGCTGATAAAAACAGAAGCTGTGAATGCAGCTAGTGTGGTGTGGGGTACTCTATGAATCACAGTGCAGACAGGAATCCCAAAGCAAACAAGGGCAAGGACAGAGGCTGAATTGAGACTGCAGAGCACTGCCACACTGAAGAGGTTATAATATATGCCTTCTGCAAGGCAGGGCAGCCAGAGTTTAAGGTGGAGTCTGAATTCGTAATTATTTATTACAGTTCCATGCTAGACATTGTTAAGCAAAAGAGTTTTTTTTCTTGGTAATACATTCTGTATTCAGAGATTTTTGCACCCTTGTCACAACCTCCTGTTCCTGTACCCCCATTAAAATAAGGCGTGTTTTTGAAATAAGCTTGATTTTCCATTTAAACAATTGATATTTATCATGTTGATTAATTGATTTTAACATAGGCACAATAACCTATATTTATAAAATATAATATATTGTGCACAGTATATATTAATCAGCTTTTCATTCAATCAGAACCCTACAGGAGAGGCTCACAACTTTTCATCCTCCCTTTTCGCCAAAGGAAAATTGACGTTAGCAGCCATGGACAGCTGTTTCCATGCTACAGTTTACTTTCAACAGAAAGAACAGTACCAAAATATCACATCCTCACCAGTGGTGTAGACACTACAGTCTAAATACTCTATATTATCGAGACTAAAAGTAATATTCTATGTTTTAACTGCTTGTAATAACACATACAGTACGACAAACATTATCATCCACCGCGGTTGTAGTTCAGGTGGGTAGCTGCATCAGCATGGGTAGGCTGCAAAGGAACAAGTAATAGGTTTATTCCATGCTGAAAAAAAGAAGAAAGAGAACACAACGTTTCGGATGTGGAGGCTTCTTCAGGTGTGTGGATTATCATCCACCTACTAGTATAGTCTTTCAAATTAAGAATAGGCCCCCAAGAATGCTGTGTCTGAGTTGATGTATGTCTTTAAATGTCCTATGCAGCATTTTGGTAAATCTAAAAGACAATTAAAAATCAGTGTAGTGAAAACATAGGATGGTGAGCACAAAGGTACTATTCAAGAAAAGATCCTGAGTTTACACATTCTGTGTCTGTTAAAATTCATCGGTATTGAGCGAACAAATTACGCTGAGGAATGGTGATATTGATCCAACATGACAAGAAAGAGATGCTTATTGGATTTATCCATTACACATTGTGTTTCTATAGGATTTAACAAACTCATTCTCTACCTCTTCTTTCTCTCGAATTATGTATAGAATATATTAATAATAGAAAATTCTTAAACATTATTCATCGTTAATCCTACATGTAGCTGTAATGCCAAGTGTGGTGATTTGTCAGAACCCAAGCACAAGTGACCGAGAGTGGCGGAACACCCAGAGAGACCCCACTGATTGTGGGGTCGAGTGCTCCGGGACAGAGGAAAAGAGAAAATGAACTGGGAACGAAAAAGGTGATAATTGATTAATTAATATTCAATAGAATAATTGATTACTGGCTGGCAGGGCTTAATCAGCCCAGGCCGGTCAGTAATGGAAAAAGACAGCAGAAAACTCTAAGACAGAACTGGCCAGCAGAGCAAGGATAGCCACAGCTGGTCAGCAACTAAAGAAAGCTCTTGAGGGGCAAAAGTGGCAGTTCTCTGCATTCCTGGTGACTAAAAAGATGAGCTGGCACAGCAAAGCGCCAGCCACAAGTTTAACCGCTCAGCCCACTGACCAGGATCTGGTACCCTTGGCTCTGGAACAGAACCAACCGCCAAGCCCTCAAATGGAAGGGTTCTCAGTTTTGTGAAACAGCCCTCTAAGTAGCCAGGGATGCAGCCTGGCAAGCCCACAGGTCAACACACGTCAACACAAGTCTACAACAGGGAAAACAAAGGGAGTCGCCTCAGAACCTAGCTGTGCTTTGGTCTGTAGGCTTTACTGAGAGGAGGGGTCTCACCAAAACCAGTGAGGCAGGACACCCCCACTCAATGGTCCAGTCAAAGGGCCCAGGAGCTGGTAAATCATGGCGCATGCCCTTATGGAGGGCCTCCTTCGAGACCAGGCCAGGTGTCCACCGTCAGCTCTGTCTCCCGGGTTCAACTCTCTGACAGAGGCACCCGGGTGCAAACAGGATTAGATACCCAGGTCCCCTCTGGACCAACTGGGAGAGACATTTGTGAGGCAAGGGACACTACCTCATTCTTCTCTCAACTCTCAGAGTCTCAGATCAGCACAGCAGCGGGGAGTTGTCCCAGTCAGAGCCTGAGAACTAAGAATCCTCATGGAGCTCTGGCTAACAGAGTGATGCTCTGCAGGCACCAGACAGAATCAGGATGCCTGGCTCCCTACAAAAGATCAAAAGGCTCTGCTGGGGCACTAGAAGGAAACTGGAAAAAGATAAATAAATTACCCAGACAGCCCAAGAGAAAGGGTGAAGAACAGAAAAGGAAGGAGAAAAACTGAAGTGCTAGGGCAGGACTCGAGAGAACTAGAACGGTTCTGCCAGGCAAAGGGAAAAGGGGCTTCAGGGAATAGCCCTGCCTCCTGGAAGTGGGCCAGAACCGCAGGAGAAGAAGGCCAGGGGAAAGGAGCCCAGGGTTCCAGGGCAGAGGCCAGGAGCTGACGTTCAGGCAGGTATAAGATCTGTGGTGCAGATTGGAGTGAAGTCCTGGACTGGAGTAAGAACAGACTAGAATGGAGCACTGCAGTGCAGGGTGACCTGAAATCCTGGCCTAGAGTCAGAGAAGACTGCTGCAGCAGCGAGAAACGAGGGTGGTTGGCGTCGAGATCTCAAGCCTGACGAATCAGGCCATCACCAGGAATAGGGCATCCGCAGTTTAGGACTGGTGTCCTGTGCTAAGCTCCCAGAAAAAAGGAGGACGCTTGGTTATCTTGGTCTTGGAGTGGAATCCTGTTGCCGAGCCCCGAGAGAGAATGGGAATTTGACTTCGGAGAGGAATCCTGGTGTTGAGATGCTGAGGCATCTGTCCGATGTACAGGAGTTTGGGAAACTGTAGTGCAGACAGGACGGTGAAAGGAATAATGATAAAGCACCATGGAAGCGGCACCTTGGCATTAAATTGAGAAAGAGAAATTTAATAATGAATTGGATCAATGTTAATTAAGGCAGCTCACTAGAAAGAGATTCGGTAGTACAAACAAGCCCTGGAAAACCGTGAGCCCCTGTAAGAATATAACAGTTTCCCAGGGTTACTGCTAGCCGAGAGACGCCGCAGGAGTACAGTCATAACAGGAGCTTTCTAAAATATATACTAAGCATCATAAACGTATTACAATTAAATATTCTACGATTGCAACAAATTCACAAGCTGCTGTATCTGGAAAATGATTGTCAGGATAGCCAATTGTTCTTTGGAAGAATCTGTTGAATGAGACACAGCTGCTATGAATGAATTAGTACTCATTACATTCTACAGGAGGGAAAGGAGCTTGTGATAGGCTGTGTGTGATTGATCAGCCCCCTAGGCTGATTAAGAGGTTTATAAGAACAGCATTGAGAAAAGGTGTAGACTCCAGCCTGGCTGGAGGGGGTCAAAGAGTTTTCATTAGGAATACCTGTACATAAAGTTGATTTACAGGTCTGTGGGATTAGGTATGGAATACATACTTAAGAGACTAAACCTAAGGTCTGTACTGAGGGGTGTAACAGGTGCTGGCAATGTGCCCATTGGGTAGTTTGATTGTCAGGCTCAATGGGGTAGGAGACTTCAGCAGAGGAACAGGGCAGGCTAGCAGAACCAGAGCTGGTTTGAAGTTTTAGGAGCTGGTGGATTTGAGCATCACTTGGTAGTGCACTCAACTTGTAAATTAGAGACGAGTCTAGATGCCAAGTTGGATCTTGATTATTCAACACTGGCAGATAGATGGGCAGACTTGGTATAATTAGAGTGAGAAAGTTGATTAATCTGACTGTTGCTGTGTCATTGGTGCAAATTATTATAATTATAATTAAGAG